TTCACTTTTCCTATTCCTTTAAGTTGTAGTTATTTTTTTAAAAGCATAAAAATATGAATTAAAGAAATGCTGACAAAAGATATGTATCAGAAAAATGAAAACAATATTTTTGCTGATGTTTCCCAGAACTGATTATTTTGTGCCCCACGAAGGGTCACCTATTGCCAGGAGAAATAGCCAAACAATCTCCTGGGGTGAGAACAAGCTAGCATAGCATAGCAACTTAGAACTGCTGTGTTAGCTCCCTTTCAAATTACCTGTTTAACAGATTGCAGGTGGGAAATTCTTCAATGGGGTTTTTCTAAGCATGATCTAGATAAAATTCGGGTAAATAAAGGCCTTGTTAAAAAACTTTGTTTATTTTTCTTTCTTTTTCTCAGTACTGTGCTGATTTTTTAAATTACAAATTAAACAGTTACATATGAATTGTTAAGGTAACATAGACAATACAATAATATTGTGGATATTTTGATACATGATTAAACAAATCTCATCTTGTATGTTCCATAGAAAATTTATGCTTCACTCTTCCTTATCTGGTGCTTTAAAATAAATCAATTTAATAAATAAATAGATTTTGAACTGATATTGGCTATATAACAACTTTAGTTTAAGATTCAATAGCCAATCTTGAATATTCATAGACTTCTCACATGGTTATCACTGTGTGAACCTGCCTAAAGTACAATATATCGAAACAAGAAACAATTCTTTCCTACATTTTTTGAACATGCATGGAAGTGTCTTATGAATCTTGGTGTTCTGTAGGACAAGAGAAGGAACTATTATACCATGATTAAATATACAACTCAGTATGTCATCAGGTGGTAAATTGACATTTTTAAGAATTCAGAAGAAGGCATGTATTAAAAATTAATCAAGTTGTAGTTCATTGCAGACAGAGCCCTTGAAACTCAAGTCCTGTAGTCTACATATCAAGCTCATTGCAACTGATTTGTTGATGCTGTACATTATGACATTTTCAAGAAAAACATCTGAAGCTTTGCAAAGGTCACCTTCTTTGAAGTAACGCCAAAAAAGACAAGAATTATCTTTCCCAGGAAATGCAAAATTACCGCTTTTGATCATGATGTCAAACCCACTCCAATATTAACATGTATGGGGGCCATTCTGCTACTAACTTGTGTGAACATAAGACCCTCCACAAACATTTGGTGGAAAAAGAATCCAGAGATAATGTGTTTACTGGGATCAATCAAAGTTCAGAATTTTTCCTAAAACAATTTGTTACTAAAAAGGATACAGAGGAAACAATAGCTGATGAGCAACAAACACGCTGTGATACAGATTATGGATCTTAGCCTGTAAATTTTCAAAACAAATTTATTTATAAAAAGCCATACATTAATCTTCTATTAGAATAGTAAACACTTTTTCATGTTACTGAACAGATTTGATGAAGCTGCTCAATATAAACTCAAAATAATGATTATCTTGTCTTGAGCTGCATTTCAGGTTCTTGGGGAAAAAAATCAGGAATTTAATCATAGCCAGGATGAATATGTAAGAGTCTCTGTGATCTTCAATCGTGGATTTCCTCAGTTGACAAACAAGGGCTGGCTTCACACACTGCACTAGGTCATAATAATTTGGTAAACTGAGGCATTGTTTAAAAATCATATTTTATGGATTAGCATCAGTATGAACCTGACCAATTATGGTTTATTTGACAAAAAAGTTAACCAAATCATGACTTGGCACTGAATTTCAATTCAATCAGTTTTTAAAAATCTATTGAATCTTCATTTCTAACAGCTACCTGAGAAAGAAAAGTTTTGTGAAAAGAAATATTGCCTTCTGGAAATTTTCTTTACTGGACTAGCCATACCCAATTCCTGAATTTATCCAGAAGAGAACAAAAAATATAATTTGATTTTAAACTATTTTTTTAAAAAAAATTAAACTATTTTTATTGGTAATCTAGCTAAGGAGAAGCAAATGCAGTTCTCTGGGATGTAATGTTAGTCAATGATCTAAAATGAGTGTAATACAATACCATAAATGTTTCCAAATGTACAAATATTAATTTTTGTGCCTGTCATAAATCTTAAATCACATTGCCAATTTGATAGTGCTTTTCCCACAAAGTACTTAGAAGAAAAAACACTAAGATATTTAAAGGATCAGTTATAGAACTGTAAAAGTCAGTATATAAGCTATTTGGAGAAACAAAACTCATTTGCAGTCTAGAAGTATCTATCAAATTTCCTGGCTGTTTTGTGTATTATGCCTCAAAGAATCCTGACAGTTAATTACAGACATGCAATTATGTAAAGATTCAGAAGAAAATTAACAAGTAATCCCTCTCTCCTCATTTAAGTGACAGCCATATTGGTTGAGCTGATTTGTAGGGCTATATTAATATTATTCTGGCATCAGTATGCATACTTAAAATTGTGTAGATACATGGAGTTTTATTACACTGTTATTCTTTCTATGTCGAGATCATCCCCAATGTGCTTTATTGCTACCATGCCTTTGGCTTCAATCTGCATGAATTCAAGTACATTTAGCATCTGGTTGTACAGCTCAGGGTTTGCTAAGTGCCTTCAGCAAATCATTGTAGGAAGTTAGCACCCACCCCTCTCCTAGGAAAATGAGATATTTTAGGAAATATTAAAAGGGCAGAATATTTCCCTTAAAAGGGAGGCAGAAACTCAGCCCTCACCTTTGTTAAGGCCTGGGCCAGTCTATTCTACATAACAAAGATCTACCTCCTCCTAGCAGAGCCATTATAGGAATTGCCAATGCCCCTTCCTTACATCATCACCCAGCAAGGTTCAACCAAGCTTGGGACTCAGGACAGACTACCGAGTTGCCCCTGCCTGGCCCCATGTGAATCTGACAACCAATCAGAATACAAGCTCAAATTCAAAGCCCAACAGAGGGCATAAAACCAAGGCACTCTCAGCATCTCGGCCCTTTTTTTTTGCTCAGGAACTAAAGCCATGTGATCCTGTTCATCAATAAACCTTCTTTCTAAGCAACTTCCATGAATCCAGTGTCTTTTTCCCCACTTGAAACTGAACCCAGAAGGATATTTCTTCCAACATCACAATACAGTACATGCCGGCCAGTGATGCGATCGTCTCATCTGTCTGAACAATCAGGCCTTGCTCTCCTGTCTCAAGATAACCATGCTTAGTATCATGTATTTTCCTTACAAATCCAAATAAGGTTATGTGGTGTGACAAATTAATAGTTTTGGTATGATGTGACAGTGCTCCTATAGAAATGAAATGAATAAATCAATTAACCTTTGGTTAGCTTAAAGGGTCTGTCTTGTGTAATCCCATTTAGACAGTAATTTAACAAGAAAACAAATTAAACAGTAAGTTTATAATTCCAACTACCGAATAATTTTCTGGTGTGATTAGTGTTTTAATTGCCCCAAGGAACTGATAGTCAGTTATTCTCCATATGCTATGGAATGGAGGATATCTGTCAGAAAGAGACAAAAAACCAAGGAGGCCCTATCTATCAACACCTAAGTAGGAAACCCAAATTATCTCTGTTCAGCAGACTATGATTGACCTTATTTAAGGTTTTAGTTAGTATATAATTAGTTTAGCTAGCCAGCTGTACTTATTTTATCAAATTATCAGTGAGCGCGACTGTTACCTTTCCTATATTGTCTTATCTCCAGGAAACTTAGTTGTTGGCTTCATTACTTTAATAAGATAATTTTTAATTCTTCATTACCTGAAAGGTTTATGTTCATTTTGGGTCCCAAAGCATGTTCCTTTGTTTTTCAAAAGCTGGATTGACAGTCCTTGACAGAAGACCTAATATCTCTCAAAATAGGTGAACTTGGCTATCACACATATTTGTTACTGGGAAACCTTACAGTAAAGTTTTAAATTATCCCTTTTTTCTTGTTTGCAACTTATGATTGCCGGCTTTCATGTAAGCAAAACACCAGTTGAAGACTTGTCTCTAGTTTTAGCTAGGAGTGTTGCAAATAATCTATCCAACTGGAAAACAAGCATACACGGGAAGTGGAAGGAAAAGATGAAAAAATAAGCCTCTCCTCCTACAAAGCAGAGGCCAACACTAAGATATGTTTCTTATTTCAATTAATGTTAATTGGAAATGCATACAAGATGCTTTGAATTCATAAGAAATAATCAAAGGTCAAGCAAACCATGGATTTTAGTTAAATAGCTGTGTGGAGTGGGAAAATGCATGTTGACAGCACAGTCACATTAACATGGTAGCATGGGTTGGCATATTGTTTTTTTTTTTTTATTTGATTTATATGCTGCCCTTCTCCGGAGACTCAGGGCGGCTTACAATGCGTTAAGCAATAGCCTTCATACTTTTGTATATTTATACAAAGTCAGCTTATTGCCCCCCACAAACTGGGTCCTCAATTTACCTACCTTAGAAAGGATGGAAGGCTGAGTCAACCTTGAGCCTGGCGAGATTCGAACTTACAGTAATTGCAGACAGCTGGTGTTAATCACAAAGCTATCAGTCTGCTGAGCCACCAGGCTCTTACCTGGTGTTGGAATATTGTGTTGGAACATGATAAAAAATACAGATTGAAAACTTTATATGGTTAAAAATCTTCCAGAAATTAAATAATGTAATTCATGTTGGGTCTTTAACACACTGAAAAACCTAGTTAAAAGTGTCATCCATGTTTGGTTGCTTCCTTTAGTAACAATTCTTGATATAACTCCATATTAATGCAAAAAAATTAAAGACATCCTGTATTTCCAGGTAAAACATCCCAATTAGTTTTCCTGATATAGGCGTATCACAGAGTCGTGGTAAAAATTGGGGTAATAATAAATGTTATTTCTGGAGATAGCCTGACACAGCCAATAAAATCTCGACCAAGGACCTCCTCCTCCAGCCAGTTTCTAGGGCGCTTGCGGTACAGTGATTGGCTATCTCAAGGACGCTAAGACGTTACCATTGGTGGAAACGGACGTGTCACGCAAGTAAAGCAAAGAAATAGGGGAAAGGTGGGGGGGGAATTGGCTGGTGGTTAGTTCTATGGCCTAATTAGCCTGTGGTGATTTTGGGTTGGATAAAACGTAGGAACGCAAGTAAAAAAAAAATGGCGCCATTCTCCGGTTTTCTGGAAGATAGATAAGGCAAGGCGAGGCTCGGCGGAAAATTCACTTCGAGGGGTGCCGGCAGAGCGGAGTACTAACTCCACGGGGCTCCCTTGAGCGCTTCCGCAGGTGATGTGCTGGCAAACCGGGTTGCCCGTAATACAGGCGGTTTCCAACTTATTCCAGACTTAGAATACGCAAGGGAAAGCACCGAGCACGTTCTTGTTGCTCGGAGGCCAGACTCCAAAAGAAGTAGAAGTTTGCAGCACAAAACAGCAAGACCAAATGCTTAAGCCTAGGACGCAATTGCTAAGTGAGCCTGTTTACAGGGTTAACTCTTGTTAGATTAACAAGAGTTGAAAGGGACCTTATAGGTCATCTAGTCCAACCCCCCCCCAGCTCAAGCAGGAGACTCAACACCATTTCTGACAAATGGCAGTCCAAGCTTTGCAATTGGTTTGCAACTGGGAAACAAGTTCCACAAATACGCGCAGGACCACCAGACCAAGCGGCATATTCTCCAAAAGTATTATCTTGTAACGGGTGTGTGTGTGGGTGTGGGTGTGGGTGTAAATTCCCTGGAGTTCAAAGTTTGGAAAAGTTGGGCGTCTTGCAGTTCCCTGGGGTGGTCTTGGGAGTTAAGCCTGCCGGCCTGATCCAACGCGTGTTTATGGGAGTGCTTCGAATTGCCATCGTGTGGACGTGCTCATTTAGCCACAGTCCTGGTTATCCTTGGTGTGAAGCTTAACGTTTGCGTAAGCAGGTCTAGAAATTGTTTTATCTAATGAGGCTTATTAGAGGTATTAAAGGAGATATTGATTGATTGATTGATTGAATTTATATACCGCCCTTCTCCCGGAAGGGACTCAGGGCGGTGAACAGCCGAAAATTAAAGTAACATATAATATAAAAGTTAAGATAACTAAAAATAAATTAAATTAATCGGCCTCCCAATTTAAAACCCCGAGCTAGAGAGGTTAAAGGAGCTATTAAATCAGCTATTGAAGGGCGATGCCGGCTCTTGGTTGAGGAGTTTTCTTATGGTGGCTCGGTTCAATTTTGGGGGTGAGTGGAGCCCTTTGCTTCCCCTGCCCTCTCATTCGTTAACCTAGGAAGGATGGTCGTCAGAAAATCATGAAACTTGATTTTCATTCTTTCTACCCGAGCAAACCGTATAAATATACTTGTATTACTAATTGCATAGTTGTGTGCAATTAATAAATGTAGTCCACATTTGTATTTTACTCACTCTTGATCTTCTCTTTTTATTTTCCATAAATCTATGCTTTTAAGAATCCCACTGGCTGAAAATTAACATTTACCACTTTTACCTCCAGGTGACAAAACGAGTAGAAGCATGCTTTTATGTAAGGTATCCTACTTTTTTAACCAATTCTTAGTCATTGCAATTGTTGGCGTGCTCCTAACTTCTCTTAAATTACTTTGCATGCCTTAACATTTCTCAATTTATCCATTTCAGCCAAGTGCAGCCATTCAAGAAAATGTAAAAATATAGCTTGATTTGACTTTGTAGGATTAACAGCTATTGTTGCAGCATTAAGAAAGTACACAACCCAGTTGGACTACAATTTATCAGTTACCTTTGAAGAGCACCTACAGTCAGTATGGTACGTGAACAATCGAACTTTGCTTTATTTCTATTTATTAAAGAGCATGTTAACCAGCAACTAGAAATGCTGATTTTATAAAATACCAAGATTTTGTCTTTAGGTTTTAGGTGCAAATAATGAGTCATAGTTTCAAAGTGAATATTATGAAGTGTCTTAGGGCATATTTGAAAGATACTCTGATTCTGGATAATGTAGGACCTGTCATATTTACTATTTGAAAGTGTGATAAAATCTCTATTTTACTGATCTCATTTAATGGACTTTAGATACAAAGGAAAATGTACATAATGTGATTTTTACATATATTTTAATATATGGCAATTACATAAATGTGTGTTTAATGGTCATATGGCTTTTCTCTTCAATTGGAACACAAACAGGTTTTACTGTAGTTCCATTTTAAATATAAAAAGGCTTCTTCCTAGAGTGGTAGATATGGAATTGAAGCTTGATAATGTGTTTTGAGCTAAACCTGTGGAAAATGTAATGACAGTGTTCTTAATAGGCCATGTAAGTATTGTCTTTTAAACATTATGTGCTAAAATTAGTGTATAAGAATATGTTGAACAATTAATAGGCTTAAGAAAAAATACTTGTTTTACCCTTTTAGTGGAATGCTCCCTATAGTTAGAAAGAAAGAAAAAACCCTGCAATCTGTATTCTTTCAATAACTTAAATATTCCTTCCTACCATGTCATTTAAATATGGAGGATAAGATTATGGAACAATTCTTTTTGTAGTAATTTGGGTCTTTATGGATTTAAAATTATGATAAAGTCAAATTTGATAAATATGATTAGACTTTTTCAAAAAAAAGTGTTATATGGACAGTTATTCCTTACGGACGTTTTATTTTTGTTTTAATAATTGCACTCTTTGGCTATCCATTACATAGTTGGTTTGCTTAAATATTTATCTCATTGTGATTGCAGGACTTTCCTTTTTCTAAAGTTCTCTTGCCTTAACACAAGAGTGTTTTAGTATAAAAATTGAGGTCATTGCTCATTGTTGGAGAACAAAAGCTATCTACCCATTTTAAAAGTCAGTCCATATTCATAATGTTGTCTAAGAATTTCCTGGGCCCAAATGATCCCAATAGAAAATAAAAACAATAGGTGTGGTAGCTAGCTACTTTATTTGGAAGTGTGTAGAAAGCCAAAGGTAAGTATAGTGTACTGTATGAGGGGAAAGTAGAAAGGTTGGCAGGTAGACTTGTGATAAATTAGTGATTTGTAACTGCTTATTTTTTTGTGTGAATAAAAAATTCCACCCAAAGCATTCATTCTAAGAGCATGCCCATAAGTTATCTTAACATTTTCAATAAATACCCTTTGTCTATAGATGGTTTATGAATGATGGCAACTATATATATCCCAGGATAATGTTGCAGGACCCAATCTGGGTTGATCACTGGGACAAGAGGGTCTTGTCTTCCAAACTAAAGAGAAGTTCCCTGAAAATGAATCCAAAAGCTTGGAAGACAAAAATATTTGATCCATGTGATCGACCCAGATTGGATTTTGCATAGATGGTTTATTTCTGCTCTGACACATTTGTTAGTTTTGTAAGGTACAGTTTGAAATTATAAGTATTAGAAGTAAAATTTGTGGTTTCCCAATTGTCAATGAAGATTCTCAGTCATCCGGGTAGAGTTGTCTGGAAGTTAAGCCATGGAAACTGGTCTTCTTGTTAGTTCAAATCGTTTCATTTTTCTCTGATTATATGTTCCTTTCTCATTAGATCCAGCAAAGAAAGCAAATTGCAGATACCATCTGCCAGGGACTTGTATTTGGTAGGACCTAAGTGGCAAGCCGCCTTTGCCATGGAGTCCACTTTATGGAACATTCTCTCCCCCCCCCACCCCCATTAGGTTAACGCCATCCCTCTTGATGTTCCAGAAATCCTTTATGATCTGGTTATGTTACCAGGGTTCCACTGTTGAGGTGGATATACTCATTCTCTCTCTCTTCCTCCCCCCCCCCCAAATATTTTAAAATGTAGATTAACTTCTGATTTTTTAATGTTGCCTTATATTTTGAAAGGCTTGTTTTATATGTATTTTTATTTAATAATTGTATGCTACACAGAGTCACTTGTGAGATAGGGAGCTATATAAATTGGATGGATGGATGGATAGAGTTCTAGAATAGCACACTTCTAACTCATTCCTTTTGACTCCTCTTAGGACAGCAAAATTCTGCAAGACATAGAAAAAGCCCTCAACAAGGCTAAAAACAACCTTGAGCATTTAAAGGTTTTAGAGGAGGTAAGTGGGCCAACTAAACTTTGTATGAGTTATTATCTCCCAATAACTCATACTCTGGGAATTGAAAATTTCTTTTTAAAAAAAGAATTGAAAATACTGCTTCAACGTTTGAACTAAGCTTCAGAAGTTTTAATACTAGATATTAGGTCAACCCCAGAGAATTAATAGCCTGTTACTGTATAGTATCTAATAACAAGATTGGAATCAGATAACAGACAGACCTTCTGACCAGGCAGAAGATACCACCTTTTTATATCAGATGATCAACCTTTGAAAAAAATAATAATAACAATGGAAGATTTCAATTCTCCAGACCACTTCTGAGAATCTAACTTTGCCAGGAGTCAGAGTACAGCAAATTTTGTCCTCTTGTTATCACAAAAAGAGCATTTGCTAGAAGTTCTTCATGAAATGACTCAATGATTCTACCCATAATAGCCTGAATGACGGTATTCAGAGTACTTGTTAATAGTTTCATCTCATCTTTGAAGAAAATAGCAGGTGCCAGAGGGATTTTTCCTGGACCATGTATTCTTCAACATTTTTATTAGTGAGTTGAAAGAGAGTTGAGGGGATATTTGTCAAGTTTGTATATGATAGAGTTGGGGAAAACAATTTCAAAAGATTTCAACAGGTTTGAGCAATGGACTGATGAAACGAATAGGGTGGAAATTAACTAAGTTCTGTATTTGAGAAGAAAAATAGAATTACAAGCACAGAATGGAGTGCCTTGCAGGTGCTGAAAATGCAAATAATATTCTCAGTTGTGTTAATAGAATAATGAAGTCCTGATCACAGGAAATAATTGTTATACTTCGTTCTGCTCTAGTTATGTCCCTCGTGGAATATTGTGTCCAATTTTGGCACAGTTAGAAAAATAATGACAGCTTGGAGAAGGAGCTGTCAGGATGATGTTGGGTCTGGAACTAAGTCCTACAAGGAATTGTTGAAGGATCTGAATATGTTTAGCATGCATGGAAGAGTGATATAGGAACAATCTTCAAATGTCACATAAAAGAGGGAGTCTAAATAATTGCCCCAAGGTTAGAACTAGAATTGATAGGATAAACTTTAGAAATAATTATCTTCAAGCTAAAGAGGTTTAGGAGCAATCAGCCAGTAAGAACAGACTACCACATAAGATATAGTACTTTTGGCTGGAAATCTTTAAACAAGATGGACCATCTATCAGAGATGATAGTGAATCTGGAGCAGGTTGCATTACATGATCTTTGCTTGTGGGTAAAATTGGACCATCTGAAACCAGGTGGACTCTTAAGAAGTTTATCTAGTTAAACCTTACAAACGTAATGCTTTTTTCTAGTAACCAAGTGGTGTTTTCACATTCTTCTAGATAAAAAAATGGATGAAAATGATTTTCTTAAAAAGTAAATATTGTGCAGGCAAGCTACAAGAAGTATGTAATACTTGCTGTGGCTCATTTTTCTACAATTTGGATGATAGGTAAAACTTAATGTATTTAGTTAGCTATCTTTGTTGGCCATGGACAAAAACAAGGGGCTAAAAGTTTGTGTTTGTATTAAATTTCTACTGCTTCTTGCGATGGAACGCTTTAAATGTAACATTCTTTTTCTTGTTGTTTTTTCCTGAAGTTCCTGAATACAGAACATGAAATTTAGTGCTTTCCTAAATCAGAATGTTTCACACATACAAATATGAATAAAACTATGAGCTGATAATGGCTTTCTGCGTTTAAAATAAGTACTGCTGTAATATTTTACATTACTGAAAGTGCATTGGAAGAAGTGCCTTATGTGTGCATTTACATATACTGTATTTTCCGGGGTATAAGACGACGGGGGGGTATAAGATGACCCCCGACTTTTCCTGTTAAAATATAGGGTTTGGGCTATACTCGCCGTATAAGATTACCCCTCTTCCAACGCACACCAAATAAAAATTAAAAAACATCAACTGGCTCACTCACAATGTAAAAGCAGCTGTGCTAGACCCAAAATGGCCCCTGCAACAAGCAGGAACCTCACACAGCCACAAAAAGCCCAAAAAAACAACTTTCACACTTTACACACACACAACACAACACAACTGGCTCATCCACAATGTAAAAGCAGCTGTGCTAGACCCAAAATGGTTCCTGCAACAAGCAGGAACCTCACATAGCCACAAAAAGCCCAAAAACCCAACTTTCACACTTTACACACACAAAATTCCACATACAGCTTTGTGAGATTTTGTGTGTTTGTGTAGTTAAGAGTGAAACACTACAGAAACACACTAAATCTCAGAAAGCTGCACAAATATTATTTATTTTTATTTTTATTTTTATATGAAAGCTAAATTTAAAACTTCCTAAACTTTAAATGGCTAGGTCTAAAAAAGAACAACTAAAAAAACCCTAATTAACTATTTTTTTTAAAGCTCCCAAAGGGGGAAAAAACTTACCCAATAGAACAGGGGTCTCCAACCTTGGCAACTTTAAGACTTGTAGACTTCAACTCCCAGAATTCCTCAGCCAGCTTTGCTTTGTTGGCTGAGGAATTCTGGGAGTTGAAGTCCACAACTCCCTGCGTGCTTGATTGCAGGCAGGGAGTTGCTTGCTGATGGAATGGATTCAGGCAAGCGAAGCAAGGCAAGCGTTGCGACTAGCAGCTAAGGTAAGCAAGCTGGAGGGGGAAAACTTTTTCCCTTTTACATGGCTTTGGCGATCCAAGCTCTGACGATCCCAGCTGAGTCGCCTGATTAGCAGGCAACTCAGCTGGGATCGTCAGAGCTTGGCTCGTCAGAGTCTTTCGGCTGGTCTACCTGGTTACAGGAGAACGACACCCCGTGAATAAGACGACCCCCGACTTTTGAGAAGATTTTCATGTGTTAAAAAGTCATCTTATACGCCGGAAAATACGGTACATGATTATATTTCTTTAAAGCTCCACACTGAGCATTTCAACTATGATAATCACAAGTGGTGACTAGATTTCAATGGCATTCCTATTGATTTCTCTTTGACCATTAGATATTTTTCCAAATTCAAAATCATCTCGAAAACGTGTGGGACTTTTTAATTGTATTTAGCTATGTCTTCATTTTATTTTGAACATTTAATTACCATAACCGTTAAAGCTGCATTGAATAAATAATATCAAACAAAATTATGTTATTAAAATCTATCTCTAAAGCATCTGGAAGAAAAGAAAGGCAATATTAATTTTGCATTGGTTTTGTTATTCTAGTCAAATTGTGTTTATGTTGCTTTTAAATTCTGTGGACAATATGTGCAAGTATGAATATATTTTTAATTATTTTTTTTAAAAAATGAATAAGCTACTTCAACAGTTCATTGCCGAAACAAAACAGGAAGAAAGCAAGATTGCAGATGTTATCACAGCCAAGTTTACAGATTGTATGGCTTCTCTGAACTCAAGGTAACATGATTAAAATTATAATACCGATTTTGTCTGAATTCTACAGTACATATTTCTGTATGAATTAACTTTATGGTAAATTGTGGAAAAGGACAATTTATTCAAATTATTTACTCATTGTGTTTGTTTCGGCAAAGGGAAACAAATATTACAAAATAACCACCTTCCATTTTTTCTTTTCTACTGTTACTTCCTTTATTTGTTGCACCTTGATTTGTTCAGGTTATAATTCTTATTCTAATACTATGATTTGTTAGCTTGGAATAATTGTTATCCTTTCACCTAATTTAGTAGGTTTAAAAAGTAAAGTGACTTTACTTTTAAATTCTTTATCAAAATGTTAGTTTTTGAAGCATTCCTTCAAATATTAAGCTACTGTATTTCAGAACCAGTTTTATTTATCTTTCAGAGAAATGTGAGTTTATGATGATAAACAAATTTATGATATAATTATTTTGTGTCTATTAATTTATAACTTTGTTTTTAAATGGCATAATGTGCGCTTTTCTATGCTATATAGTTACCTACTGAGATGCTCAAATTAGGTGGTACTTTTGTAGGATATGATCATTTTTTCTGATGTATTTGTTTCTAATCAGGAAAAGGAAGATTGAGGCAGAGTTGGTAATGAACACCAGTTACTATGTAACTGATATACATAGCATTCAGGTTGCTGTTATACAAAAAAGAAGCAATTTGATTGATGCAATAAAGAAAGCGAAGGAGCTGAAAACAACTCATTCATTAGAATCCTACCACAGCTTAAATCAGGTAAGGTAAACTATGTATTGCATTTCTTTGCTTTCTGGTTGGGATTTTCATTAATGTAATCTATGCCTTCAGTAGTCAGAAATGCATTTTAAGGGTTTCTGTAAAGGTAATTTCAACAGTAAAATAAACTAACACATAACAAAATAATACAATTAAAATAAACATCAGAACTAGTTTTATTGATCTTATTGTTTTGGCATTCTAACCTGAGGGGTAAAATACAAATGATTTTAAATTTAATTTAAATTGGTCATAAAAATAAATGCATATATGTTCTGTATTAGTACACTAATAAACTAATTCCAATAACAAAAATGAATTTGTTTATAAAACAATTTTAGCTTAGGCACCATTTTGATCTGTAATGCCCCATTACATATATTCTTTGTGTGTTTGTGTGTATGTACAAATAATTATCAGTGTAAAACAAATATAAGGCAAAATATGAATTGTGGCACTCCTAAATCATATACTGTCTACATAAGTGCTTGCTATAGTGTATTAAAAATTGAATAAGGACTCATTATTTTTTAAGGCTCTTTGCAACTTAAATGTATCAGTTGAAGAAGAAGTCTTAAAACTAGATAATCTGAAAAAAAGAACACTTCCAAGGTACGTTTCTGGAAAACTAGGGGGGTTTGGCACATTTATTTTTGTCCATAAGCAGTATTAAAATAAATTGTTGCTAGTATGCTAGTATTCAAGATTCGCTAACTGATCCTGTGCCGTTAAGTCATTTTCATCTTCAAATGACCCTATAGACCAATGATGGCTAACCTTTTTGCTGTTGTATGCCAAAAGCGGGGGGGAGCGCAGGGGCTTTGTGCGGGTGTGTGCCCACATCCATAATTCAATGTGACCCCCCCGCACATGCGTGCGTGACCCCCCTGCTCCCCCCGCTGTTGGCATGCGATGGCATGGTGGGCCCGGAAGGCCCATTTTTTGCCCTTCCCAGCCTCCAGAGGCTTTGCCCTTCCCCTCCCCGGAGGCCGTACACAGCCTATTTCTTGACTTCCGGTGGGCCCGGAAGGGCCAAAAATTAGGTAGCCAGCACATGCATGTATGTTGGAGCTCAGCTAGGGCCCACAGATATGCTCGCGTGCCCACAGATACGGCTCTGCATGCCACTTGTGGCACACGTGCCATAGGTTCGCGATCACTGCTATAGACAGATTTTTTCCATGATGACTATTACTAACTTGTTCTTACAATGGTGCATTCATCGCCATTCTTGAGTTCATCCACTTTGCTGCTAATCAATCTCTTCTTCCCTTCTATCTTCCTCAGCATTAGAAATTTTTTTTTTTGGAGAGCTAGGTCTACATATAATGTACCTGAAGTACAGAATAATTTGATTTGGCACAAATTTGACTATTTGTGCCTTGAGTGAAAACTCTGGATTGATTTGTTCAATAATCCATTGGTTTGTTTTCTTGGCTGTCCATGGTATTCTCAGGAGTCTTCCAACACCAAAGTTTAAAGGCATCAAAGATTTTTTCTGCCTTCTTAAAGTCCAATTTTTGTTTCCATAGAGTACCTGGGTTGCATGATTCTGATCTTTATAGATACATCATGGCATTTGAATATTTTTTCCAAAGCTTCATGTCTGATGTATTGAGTGCTAATCTGCAGTGTATTTTTTGACTACTATTGATGTTGATCCTGAAAGGTAGACGTTATAACACCAGTTCAGTATCTTCATTGCCAATTCTAAGACCATTGTTCTACCTGTTGTCATTAGTTTTGTGGTCTTTATATTTAATTTTAGTCCCATTTTTTAACTCTGCTTTTTGACTTTTAGTGCAAAGTCAAAATGTGTTACTGGCATAGTGCATGTTTGTTGTTAGTTGTGAAGTTATGTCCGACCCACCGTAACCCCATGGACAACATTCCTCCAGGTCTTTCTGTTCTCTACCATCCTCTGGAGTCCATTTAAGGTCATGCCTACTGCTTCAGTGACTCCATCCAGCCACCGGAGTTTCATCTTCAGGATCTTGGCCTTCTAAGGAGCAGTCAGGGTTGATCTCCTCTAGGACTGATCAGTTTGATCGCCTTGCAGTCCAAGGGACTCGCAGGACTCTTCTCCAGCACCATAGTTCAAAGGCCTCAATTCTTTGACGCTCAGCCTTTCTTATGGTCCAACTTTCACAGCCATACATTGCAACTGGGAAAACCGTAGCCTTGACTATACGCACTTTTGTTGACAGGGTGATGTCTCTGCTTTTTAGTATGCTGTCTAGATTTACCATAGCTTTCCTCCCCAGGAGCAACCATCTTTTAATTTCTTGGCTGCAGTCCCCATCTGCAGTGATCTTGGAGCCCAGGAAAATAAAATCTGTCACTACCTCCATTTCTTCCCCATCTATTTGTCAGGAATTGAGAGGGCCGAATGCCATGATCATAGTGCATTTTATTGATAGTTTTTTCCAGTTTTAAAACCACTTCTCCGTAATATATCTCCTCATTCCACTAATGAAAACTGTTGTGTATCAGTTCGGAGTCATCAATTAAGTACTCAATTATATGCTTAAAACTGTGTCCAGAAAATTTGTAACATGGATAATATATTCCTAATACAGGTTTTACATGGACTATGATGAGATAAACCATCTATTTGAAAACATAGGTAAATTTTCCTATGATGCATCAAATGTGTAAGTATTTTGCATGTATTTGAAATAGAATGGTTTTGTTCAGCCAACTTAGAATCTTTCGGTTTATATAATACAGAATACCTTCTGTTGAAACACTCATAGATATAAAGAATAAACAATACCAATAAAAGGAAATAAACTGGAAATAACACCTATGCAAGCATGGCTGATCTTAAAAAATAAAAGCTAACTAGGGTTCATTTTTGGTTTGAAGAACAGGAAAATCCCAAGGCTTTAGGTATTAAAGTTGTATAAATAAATAAATTGGTAAAAAAAATCTTGAAAAAAAGGAAACTACCCCTATTTGTTGAAAAAAGAAAAACATTGAAACTCAATTTGAGGGAATTATTTTCTGTAATATGAAAACAGCCAACTAGTTCCCATCAGAAATAAGATTTCTGGTTATTTTGGGGGCAGTAATTACAAGTTGCATTTGTACTTTCGATCATGCTGTCAATGAACTTTATTTAGAAATGTTTCCATTATTAAATACTGTGCAGCAGCATCTGGAATGAAATGAACAGTTTGGTTGACAGATACAGGCAAGTGAAATTTTCTGTTAGAAACAGTATACCGTATTTTTTGGAGTATAAGACTCTCCGGACTGTAAGACGCACCTACCTTTTTAGCTGAGGAAAACAAAAGAACTCTGCCTCTGCCTCCCAGCAATTTTTCCTCATTGCAGCCTGCTTTACTTTCATTTTTGTCTTCAGCATAGCTTGATTAGCACAAGAAAAAAAAATCTGCTCCCAGCAATTTACCTCCTTGCAGCAAGCAGCAGAGGCCCTGGGAACAATAGGCAATGGCAATCCCTGCAGCCTGAAACAGGTGAGAGTTGGGAGGCCAATCAACTTGTGCTAATTAGGCTGTCCTGAAGCTGAAATGGGCTGTTGCTGCTTGCCGCAAGGAGGTAAATTGCTGGGAGGCAGAGGCCAAAGGTTGGGGGCCAGTGGGTGGGCGGGGCTACATTCGGAGTATAAGACGCACCCAAATTTTCACCCCCTTTTAGGGGGGGAAAGGGTGCATCTTACACTCGGAAAAATATGGTATGTATCTAGCTTGCTGATTTTTAGTGGTACTTGGCATAATTCCTATAAGTAGCAATTATGAGATCTTTGATATTTACAGGAACAGGAACAGAAAGATCCATTCCGTGGCTCCTTAAAATCTTGGTTGTATTATACTCAACAAAATATTCTCCACATTGTAATTTTTAGTTGAATAGGAGACAAAAAATTATTAAATACGTGAGAGTCAGTTATGTTTTAAATTAAATAAAATTGAATAATGATTATTGTACAGTTAGGGAGTGAAGTCTCCATCAAGCATCTGTGATCAAATTCAGTCCTCAATCCCTGCAGAGTTATATGCCTCTATTCAATAAAGTGGGCTTGGTATGACAAGCCAAGATTTGTTTTAATGAGCAATTAAAAATGTCCTGGTCACAGAGTGAAAAATCTATAAATTATTATTTACAATTTACAGTGCCTAGGATGTAAATTTAAATATGAAATTACATTATGGTTTTATGTAATGTATGAATCAAACCTTATATGCTATGTACGTTAGTTTTGTACTCATTCTTGTCCATGGGGGGGGCAGCTGTGATAAAATTAGATTTTTTTAAAAAAACTGCTAAATCTGAAATTGTTACAACCACAGTTACTGTTTTATACTTATTATAGATTACTGTATTAAAATAAATTCAGACAATGAAAAGCTTCTTATAAGCTGCTTATAATGTGTCAAGGTAGTTAGATACGATACACCAAATTAAGGTTGTTGTTTTTTTCCTGACTCTGTGGTTATGTCAAAGAAGTAGGGAACGTACGGAGCAAAAGGCACATTTATATAACACTGGAACTTAAGCTAGCACATAGCTGAAACTGAAAGTTAAAGATCTCGCCATAAAAGATAATCCATAGAAAATAGTCCATTAGAAGCAGTATACAAAATTAAACTTTGACTTTTTTTTAGATTGTACTGTATAAGAATGATAAAATTAAATCAACTAATGTTGCTGTTCATGTATACTTAAGAGTACATTTTTCTTTAGACTACTATCTTTGAAAAGATGGGAAATTGGTTGAAAAAGGGAACACAATATTGAAGTTTTAAAAAATCAAGTTGAATATAGTTTTATCTTAGTCACTTATTAAACTATACTAATGATTTTTTCTGAAGTGATTTCTTTCGTGTTGTATAGATGTCTTTCTGGATAGACATGTTCAATACAAGTGCATAAATTTTATGGTGAGGTTATAGATACCATACCTCCTTTTTTTAGCTTCTTTAGATTGTTTTCTTTGTGGGGGAATTTTTTATATACTTTTTCTTCTGATAAAAGTAAAGTTAAAAATAAAAACATGTTGAAAAAATCAGTGATTTTGCTGTAAGAGTTTGGTGAAGAAATCTTGAAAGCGTTCTGGGACTGAAAAAAATTATTAAGAGGATGTATTTAGCCTTCAGGTTTAATGGAAATTAAAGATGCTTCTTAAAGTCAAAGGCCTTTTCATTATATCTGTTGTTTATTTGATCTTTTGTGCTAATACGATGTTTAATAAACAAACAGTATTCAATGAATAATTGGTCAATTTAGGTACAACTTTGAAGAGAACTCTCTAAAAAAGAATAATGAACTTGGTACTTCACATCAAGTAAATGTGAATCTTGTTAAAGAAGTTGATGTAATTCCTCCTTCCAAAGAATCTGATATATGTTTTGGAGGTGCCCACTTGCAAGCAATGAGTCTATTATCCATTCAGAAACACACTCCTGCATTATCTCATGCCACATCTACACCAGATGTTATAATTGAAGAAATAATTGAAGATGATCAAGAAAGTGAGTAGGGGCTTTAAACCCCTCTAAAGCTCTTTATATAATTTGTTACAGCTATAATATCCTTTCTCTTTCAAAGTGTTCATAGTGTTTTAAAAAATACATAGATGGATCATACACACACACACAGCTTTGCAGTACCAGAGCAAACACCAGATATTGAACTATAGTTCTGAGCATCCCATCACCAGCGAGTATGATGACCAGAGTTCCTGGGAGCTGTGGTTGAGCAATCAAGAACAACAAATTGTCCACTTTTAACTAAAGAATTACAGATATGCTCACTCTTAAGATTGAGAATGATTTTTCCTGGTAAATAGCAACTCATGAACAACGCTTGTTATGTTGATATGTTGTATCCCTTTTTGTAATATGCTGTATTATTTATTTTATTTATATGGCTGCCCATTTCACAAGAAGCGACTTTTAGACAATGGTGTTGAAGTTTCTATAAATAGTAGTATTTAAATTGGATATAAGTAAATCTTTCTGATGTAAGTAAGTGTTTGGAGACTGATGGAATCAAAACAAATTAAAAACATGACCATAACCATCTTATAAAAAGTGTGTGGATTAGCCAACACTCAGCCTTGGAAGTCTGTTAAACTCTGTGGATTGTGATTGCCACCGCCACCTTGCACTCTGGTTTCCAAAGCTAGGCTGGCTTAAGCTAGGTGAAAGTTCCCACCATCCGCATTCCTTCTCTGAAGGCTTCCTTGCCTCACTTTCCAGTGCCTGCCTAAAACATAAGCTAAACAGGAGTTACTGTTCTGTGCACATTGCACGCGCACACACCAGAGGTGGGTTTCAGCAGGTTCTGACCAGTTCTGGAGAACTGGTAGTGGAAATTTTGAGTAGTTCAGAGAATCTGTAGTAAAAATTCTGACTGGTCTCTGCCTCCCAAGTCTCAGCTGACTGGCAGGAAATGGGGATTTTGCAATAACCTTCCCCTGGAGTGGGGTAGGAATGGAGATTTTACAGTATCCTTCCCCTGCCATGCCCACCAAGCCACGTCCACAGAACAGGTAGCAAAAAAATTTAAAAACCACCACTGATACACACCCACCCCATTCTGAGTTTGGGGATTTTTGTTTGCAACTGAGCTGGCAGGCTGCCAGTCCCGCCCAGGTTTAGGGAGAAGAACCCTCCTTCAGCATGTTGTGCTGGACCCTGACAGCTCCCAGGTGGGGAGAAGGGCAAGCAAGGATGATGACAGGGTGACTCACTCGCGATGGCCATTGCCGCGAAGGCTGTTCCCACTGAATCTTCCAGCCCAGAACAATAACTCCCGCATAGCCCATCTGCACTCCTTTTCCAAAGGTTTCCTCACTTTGTTTTCCAGTGTGTGTCCCCCCCCCCCCCCCCCCCCACGCAAAAGGCAGACTAAGCTGGAGTCCCTGTTCCAGGCTGAGTCACCTTTTACTGCCCCTGCTTGCTCCTCTCCCTGTCTGGGAGCCATCGAGGTCCAGCGCAGCACACCGAAGAAGTGTCCTCCTCCCCAGGCCAAGGCACAATTGGCAGCTTGCTGGCTCAGATGCAGTTAAATGTCCTCAAACTCATAAGTATGTGTGTGTGTGTGTGTGTGTGTGTGTAAAATGATTCCAGCTAGCATGACTTTCATGGCGGGGGGGAAGGACTGGGAAGCAAGGCAAGGAAGCCTTCAGAGATGCAGTGTGGGCTGGTTTCTCCTCCCTTAAGTTGACCTGGCTTTGGAAACCAGCACGGAAGGCCCAGCTTGTGGTGAGTTATCTCCACAGCAAGTTAGCCACGGCGAGTTGGTGGCAGTAAGGAGCAAATTGTCTCTTTCTGCCACTTCCATACAATGAAGGGACTGTCAAAAAAGGCCAGGTGGCATCTCCCACTATCTTGCTGGTTTTAACACACACCATCCCCGCAGATGCCATTGCTCATGACTCCTGGGATTTCTCAGAATAGACTTCTTAGGGCAAATTTGAAAACTGTAAGTGTGACTCTGAACTTGGCTTTAGAAGGCTAGTCGTTAAGTCTCAGTTCTTCAATAAATTTGTTCCAGGTGAATAGTATTCACATATGGAGTTGATTAAATATATCCGTGTTTTTTCCCCCCAAGCATTTTCTGCAGAATATCGCAAATCTACATATCAGAAGAGTTTTTTTCAAACACAGCAGGTCCCATTTGAGTTAAAGGCTGGTATGTAACTGATCTGGCAAAATAAAATGTCACAATGATTGGTTTAATAGTTTGATTTTTGAAATGTAGAAAGAAATGCTACCATCCCTTTTTTAAAATAGTAACTTTGAAGATATAGATCAGTGATGGCAAACCTTTTTGCCACCAAGTGCCCAAACTGGAATGTGCGCCAGAAACCTGAAGACCAGCTGGCCGGTGCGCATGCGTGCGCCAGCGACCTGGTGTTCAGGTTTCTGGCGCGTGCATGCATGCCAGCCAGCTGGTCCTCACACGCGCTGGAGCTCCGGAAACCCGAAGACAAGCTGGCCAGTGCGCATATGTGCATCGGGCAGCTGGTCTTTGGGTTTCCGGCGCTCCAGCGCAGGCGGAGACCAGAAGAGTAGCTGGTGACAGCGCACGTGCCCACAGAGTGGGCTCTGCGTGCCACCTCTGGCACGTGTGCCATAGGTTCGCCATCACGGATATATATCAAGTGTATAAGAGGAAGTTTATGGAATAGACATACTTTTTTCACAATAACTGGTTGTAAAGCAAAAAAATGCTTGATTTGGACTAGTCAAATGTATTGACTCTTAATATTTCAAATGTAACATAACTATTGAGAGATGAAAGTAGATTATGATTAATGCTAAAACAGTTAACTGTTGAGCCAGATGCTGATGTTTTCAAGTAAATGTTTTGCAATTTCATTCATTCTGTGTAGAAATCTAGTTTGCTAATTACTTAATGGCCCCTTCCTTATGAATATGAATTCATTCTTATTGAAGTATTCATGTTATTTTCTTTTTCGTTGTTTATTTTATTGTTCTATTATTTTGCTTCTGTTTTGTTTCATTTCTTTGTTTTTATTATTGTAAACCGCCTAATCCATGGTGAGATATATGGCAAATAAAATAAATAAATTTCTGCACAAATCATTTGATTTTTCATGTATCATGTAAACAAATTTGCTTATTATTTGATTTTATTCATTCATTTTATATTCTATCTTACACAGATGTTCCTGAATATGTTATTGTCAGTTGTGTAATAAATCCATGTCATTTCTATGTTCGGAAAGTTTCCCAAAAGAAAACTGCGATCTATTTGGAAAAAGTTTTGAAACACTATTGTAGGAATAACTCTTTGTCTCCTATTGACATTTTGGAACTAGGTAACTCCTTTAATTTCAGTTAGGTTATAATTTCAGAATTTTTTAAAACTTCCGTGGAAATGAATTTATGTGGGTTTTGGTAAAGGTTTTCCCTGTCCAGTCATGTGCGACTCTAGTGGTGGTGCTCATCTCTAGCCAAGGGAGCCACTGTTGTCCAAAGACACTTCCGTGGTCATGTGGCCACATGCTGAGATGCATGAAATGACGTTATCTTCCACTGAAGTGGGTACCTATTTATCTACTTGTATTTGCATGCTTTCGAACTGCTAGATGGGCAGGAGCTGGGGCAAGTAATAAGAGCTCACCCCATCACATAGCCTCCCAGGCCTCAAATCTGGGCTGTCAGCTTTCCAGTGACAAGCTGAGCATCTTTAACCATTGAACCATCGCGCACCCTGGGTTTTGCTAAACTCTTCTAATTCTCAAATTTTATTGTTTATTTTATTGTATTCAGATTTTATTTATTTATTTATTTTATTGGATTTCTATACCGCCCTACTCCCGAAGGACTCAGGGCGGTGAACAGCCACAGAATAAAACACATAAATACAAAAATTTAAAATAGAATAAAAATGAATTAAATAATTTGGCTGAGACAAATTTAAAATACCCAATAATTTAAAAACAAATTAAAATTTACATTTTAAAAGGGGAGAAGATTTAGGCCAGGCCAGCTTGATAAAATAAGAAAGTCTTGAGTGCGCGACAGAAGGTGCGCAGATCCAGGATCCTCTGTATCTCCGGGGGGAGCTCGTTCCAGATCGTAGGTGTCCCCACAGAGAAGGCTGTCCCCCTAGGGGCTGCCAGTCGACATTGTTTGGCTGACAGCACCTGGAGGAGCCCCTCTGTATGGGAGTGTACTGGCCGGTGGGAGGCTATTGGTGGTAGCAGGCGGTCCCATAGATAACCAGGTCCTAAGCCATGGAGCGCTCTAAAGGTGATAACCAGATTTTGGTTGGAGTTACTTCATTTATTTTGAAATTGGAAAAATGATTGTGAACTATTTAAGTTTTTAAGTACAGATGTATCTTTTAAAGTAAAACCTTATGCTAATGGCATGGTTTATTAATGGAAATTTGCTGCCATCTCATGACTAGTCAGCCAGGGTTTTGCAGCCCTAAGTAAAACCTCTGCTCTTACTTTCAGACAAACTTTTAAGTGTCGAAGATTGAATTGAAGAGTTCTATAAATATCCTTCCTTAAGAATGCTTAAAAGTAGTAATGAATTTAAAGATATTTAAATTTTATTGTATTCCAGGCACAAGGATTTTGGTTAAAAGCAAAGAACATGGAATGTGGTGCCGTGCAGAAATAATTGAACTAATTCCGCTCCTGAATAAAAATAAGGAGAAACCCTGTGGTCTGACAAAACTCAGAATTTGTGATATTGCAATAATGAAAGTATTCCTTATAGACTTTGGGCATCCAGAAGCTTTAATTATTTCAAGGTATGAATAATTTTAAATAACTTGTGTTCAAATCTATCATATTTAGATTTTCCCATTTTTTTTTTGTAATTATAAGCTGGTTTTGAAATTATCATTTCTGCCCAAGGTGATTTAGTGAATGGTGCTTCACCAGATGCTTCAGAGATTTAAAATCTTATTTCTGACTGGAGCATGATGAGATATTATTGGTTATCCTGAACAGTTTGATAGATGTGCTGGTCACTCCCACCCCCGGTTTAGTGAAGGGGCAATATGAGTTTGACACCCCTGGTTTAAAGTGTAATAGGGGACATAAATAGATGACACCCAGGTCTTTTTTCCCCTTCTACAAGTGAGTTGTGTTCCTTTATATTGGTTCCCATTTCAATCAGATTGTGGAATGCTTGTGGAAGGTGAACATCCAGATAAGTCACACTCCCAAAGTAGTACTCGGCAAATGTTTTACAGTCCTTTCATATAGTTACTATTCATGCGCTGATCGTTTTCCAATTGGATTAAATAACTTACTCTACATTATTTATTTAGCTTGTATTCCACTTCAGCCAAAAAACTCTTTGTGACTTATGCAGTGAAACCAATAGCTTTCAAAATTTGGGAAATAACAAATCACAGTCGTTATAAAAATAATGCACACTCAGAAAACTAAACTAAAATGAAAATAAAATAATTGCCCCAAAATGACTAGAATACACTCTGGTCTCCAGCATTTGCAGTAAGGAATTGTGCTAGCCTGATTGTCTTTCAGAGAACAGTCTTTGCAGCCATGAAGCAATCTCTTCTGGCATTTGGTTAAGCATGGCAAACAGGACTGAAAAGATTGCTGTTGCTAAGTAATGCAGTAGTGCTTTAGGACCCCATTGCTTAGCAAGGAAATTCCAGTCCCAATTGCCATAGTAAGATCAGAACTATCTATCTTTTTTTGTGTGATACATAGTGGTGGGGTTCAAATAATTTAACAAGTGGTTCTCTGCCCTAATGACCAGTTGGGTGGGCGTGGCCAGGGTGTGTGACAGACAGCACTCAGCCTCCTGCACCCCTCTGGGAGCAAAAGTGGGCTGTGGAGAGGCCACACCACCAACCCCACACCCCGTTTTGGACCTATTAGGCCTCTCTGCAGCCTCCTGGGAGCAAAAACAGGTGGGGGAGCCGCCACAGAACCCCACGCTCCATTTTGGGCCTAGTAGGCCTCCCTGCACTTACTTGGGAGCCAAAATAAGGCACGTGGGGACTCCGGGGAGGGGAGGGGCAGAGCCAGACAGCAATTTAATAACTGGTTTGCCTGAACCAGCTGAATCCCACCACGGATGATGCACATACAGACTTGCATATATACAGTATACATATCAATATTGGGGAAATGACCTATTAACGTACGGTATTTCAGACTGCACAATGAAACCATGTGGGGTTTTTTCTTCTGCCATCAGAGTACCTAATGAAGTTACTGTGAATCCAGAACATGTTACTCTTAAATACATGATGATTGAAGATCTGTGTTTGGTTGTAAGAAAAATGGATTTATCTTTAGAGAATCGGCTCAGAGGTATAAGTAAGCTAGCCCTACAATGTTCACTAAAGGGCATTGTTCCTAAGGATTCAGTAAGTGAGAATTATATTGGCTGCCTTTTTCCATTTTTTATTTAAATGCCTTTTTTATAGTCTCACATTCATCTTAATTTATTTTCTTCTTTATATAGCAGTTATAGACAGATTTTCTATATTTCTATAGATGAGGATAGTGACAGAGATGTCCTGAATCAAGGGGAACTGATATACCTAATATTCCAGAGTCTTCTGGAAGGATTCCCTTTAAGGCAAATAATGTTTATGAATACTGTATTCAATATTTTGCGAGGTTTGGTTTGAGGTAAACCATATTTCACAGCCATTATGCTTCTACTAAGCATAATGAAACGAGAGTGTTCCATTAATGAAACGAGAGTGTTCTTTTGAAACAGTATTCCAGGAGGAGAGAAATAGAAGGAAATGAGCAGCTATAAAGCACAATTTGTGGTATACTTACAAACGTAAACAGTGGTTTGAGTTTTGTGATTAATATAAATCATAATGGAACACGTCTGAATTGAGCATTTGGGAAATTTATCTCTAGTTCACTGCTAGTTGTAAGCTTATTTTATGAGCCGTGATGGCGCAGTGGTTAGAATGCAGTATTGCAAGCTAATTCTGCTCACTGCCAGGAGTTCGATTCCTGCAATCCTGACTGGCTCAAGTGTTGACTCAGCCTTCCATCCCCCTGAGGTTGTAAAATGAGTACCCAGATTGTTGGGAGCAATATGCTGATTCTGTAAACCACTTAGGGATGTAAAGCAAAAAATTGTCATAAAATGATTCTTTGACAACTGTGCTGTTTAATTCTCTGGTCCCAGTTGTGGTTATAAGTCAGCAACAACCTGTAGTTTGCAATAGTGGAGAGATCTAAGACTACACATTACTCAAGACTATTTATTTTGGTGTTTCCCATGCAATATGTTTCATCAACCTTTTCTAGGGATAAATTTGGTTTTTTTTCCTCTTATCATGAAGCTACCTCCATAGGCAATTACTTAAAATATATTTCTGTTTAACTTATAGTTAAAGAAGGGAGAAGATTGAGGGGAAAAAATTGAATTGTTTGGCTTTTCTATCCACAACAGGAAAAGGGTTGGGGTAGAAGAGCACGGACAGAATTTTTGAGAATGGTAAATAGCAAAGCTGTTCTGATGAAAATTTTTAGAGAAGAGAATGGCGTGCTTATTGTAGATCTTATGAAGCCTCCAGCAAACAAAATAAGCAGTGACATGCCTGTATCCCTCAGAGATGCTCTAGTTTTCTTGGATTTGGCAAGGTATGCATAACTAAAAGCTTTTTAAAGTCATAGCATAAAGAACTATGACATTAAACATGTTTTGAATAGAATTTTAACTTACCTTACATATGATTTAAGATGGAATATATTTGCTTCTTCTGAGTTTATAGATTGATTAGATACTCTTAATGAATAAAATTTCAATTCCTCCCTTGAAATTTTCTGTTGGGAGTTGCAACCTGCTTTAAAAAGGAGGCTTACAGCCTGGATCCAAAGTTCCAATGGTTGTCCTCCGCCCCCCGCCCCCCCAGTCATGTGACCACACTTTGGATGCTCAGCAACACAATCACCTGACCAAGTTTTACAAAGGTTTTGCTGAAAACTGGCACTTCTGATTTTCAGCAAAATTGTGCTCACAATGGGAACAATGGGTTTGCCCTTATTAACTGTTGCACTTACTTAACCACCACCACAATAAAAGTCATAAAATCAGGTCAGTCATATGATTGATCCATTTCACTACCATTATGTCCTAAAACTGTAATGGACTGGCTCCATTACATTTGTAACTCCAGGACTATGTATACTTCTCAGCTCAACATGGTGTTTGCCTTGAGAAAGGAAGAGAGTATGTTTTCATCAGTTTCCAAGAAGAGTACAAGCTCTAGGTCTCCTCTCCTGATGTTAAGAGAATATCAAAAATATGTTACAAATTTGTGCAATTCTATGGTATATTGCAGGAGTAAGGTAAAAGCACTGTTGCCTATTTTATTAGCAGAATATCCCTAGTGGCATCTTTTTGAGTTTTCCCCATAGAAACCAATGGAATATATTTACTTACAATGGAGAAATTAAAAGATGTACTTACAGATCTGATTGAATTGTGAATTAGCCTACATTTTGAATTAAATTCTGGAAAAAGATTTTAGCCAAGTCATGGGAATTCTTTGGGGGGTTTTCTGTTGTTTGTCTTTTTAGGGTGGGAACTGACATAAAGTAACAGATTAAATGCTGTTCCACGGTGTCCCTGGTTTGAATACATTAAGATTTATAAGATTGTGTTAAAATAAATGTAAGGAAAGTATGAATAGATTTTCTGTGTAATTCATATCTTCATATCTTAATTGTGTTTCATATTCAGAATTACTAACAGTAAAGTAAAAAATTATTCCTGGATTGCTTTATATTGCATATTAACAGTTTATTCTCATCTCTTTACCTTATTAGTTTTCAGAATGAATTTTCTGATTGGTCAAAAAATACTGTACCACTGGAGTACTATCCACCTGTTCTGCCACGTGAAAATACAGAGGTTGCTGCTGTTGTTAGTTACATTAATAGCCCTGGCGACTTCTACATTCAGCTGGTAAGTGTTGCATTTTAAAGTTAGGGTTCATATTAGTACAGGTAGTCCTCGACTTATGATCCCAGTTGAGCCCAAAATTTTCTGTTACTAAGTGAGAATTGGTTAAGTGAACTGTGCCCCATTTTTCTTGCCACAGTTTCTTACCACAGTTGTCAAGTTAATCACTCCAGTTGTTAAGTTAGTAACACAGTTGTTAAATGAATCTGGCTTCCCCATTGATTTGGCTTCTCAGAAGGTTGCAAAAGGTGACCACATGATCTCATGACACTGCAACCGTCATAAATATGAATCAGTTGCCAACATCCAAATTGTGATCACAGCATGCTGCAATGGTTGTAAGTGTGAAAAACAATCATAAATCACTTTGTTCAGTGATGATGTAACTGCGAACAGTCACTAAATGAGCTATTGTAAGTCGAGGACTACCTGTAATCTTAATGTTTTTGTTCATATTGGTACTCTCTTCAGTACTAATATAAAACATTAAAACTGTTTTAAAGTTATCTTTTTTAAAATAAAAACTGCAAAGATTCCGTGTTGAAGGTCAAAATATGGAGTAGCAAGTGGCTTCTACTTGGCTTTCAGCTTGAAAGCTGATGTTGGTTGCATCAGTTGCATCTTTGCTAAACCTTCTATCTTTCTGAGCCCTTCCTGTGGCATTAGTTACAGTACCACCAAATTCAGCTAAAAATAAACAGTATAATAATAAGCAATAATGCAAATTAGTATATTAGTGCCAAATGTTAGCATAATGGAATTAATTTTTTTTTCATTGTGGTAGTTAGAACAGGGTCCCGAATTTGCAGCTTTTCTAAAGAAAGTTGAAGAAGTGTATGAAAGTGAAGCAGGACCCGACTTGCAAATACTTTGTCCAACCCATGGACAACCATGTGTGGCCAAATTTGAAGATGATGGCGTTTGGTACAGAGCACAGGTGATTGGTAAGTATCTGGAATGCATAATTATTCTGAACACTCTAGTTCAAAAACTTTTTCCAGTGAAATATTGTAGAACATTTCATCTATCCAATATTGTGATTATTGTCGTCCAATAATACATTTGTTTTGAAACTGCATCATAAATGTATAAATAGCCACATTATTCTCTGGGTAACATATAACTGATGTAATAATTAAGGGGTTCAACGTTGAAAGATATGTCTGATACAAAACCCCCTCAATTTTGGAGGTCATTGGATTTCTTTGGACCACTATTTTTTTTATTTAGGTTAGGATTATGAAGTTATTAACGTATAAGTATAAAGACTTATGGGTTAATAACTTTTTTTACAATTAACTTCATAACTGTACAGTGAAGTTTGTTCTCTTGTAGCAATGGCAAATTTTGCTGTGTTTTTTCTCAGATTTATGTTTGCTTCCAACTTGGGTACTTTGAGTCCTGATATTCTGGTTTATGTTAAACACCGCTTTGCAGTTGCATTAAAAAAAACCCAAACCACAGCTTACATTCTGTCCATGTGAAAATAGATTTCAGATTTTGGTTTTCAGGACAAGCACTGAAGGATAGTATGCCGCTATGAATTTCTATAATGACAATTATATTTTTAAAAACCTTAAATTCATGCAGGATATTATAACTTTGTGAAATGTTCATTCAAATCAAGCTAACAAATGCCAATTTTTGATACCAGAAAAGAATATGTAACAGACTTCCCGATTTCCTTGGATTTTCTAACATTAACCAAAATCAGGAAGAGAATTGTAACATAGATAATGAGTTATTTTCTTTTATGTAACTTTGGAGAAGAAGTAAGATGATGGGTACCTGAAAATAACATAAACACACTTTTGCAGATGTTTTTCATTCAGATAAACATATTTCTTTTTATCCTTTCAAGGTCTAATTTCCTAATTTCATTTTTTCCCCAAAGGATTGCCAGGTCATCAAGAAGTTGAAGTTAAATATGTTGACTATGGTAATACTGCTAAAATAAATATAAAAGAAATGCGTAAAATAAAAGATGAGTTTTTAGTTCTCCCAGAAAAGGTAGGAAAAGCTATCTATTTTATAGAATCTAGTTAAATGCCTTGTACAGTTTTTGCATCTTCTTTCATAATACTTGATTCATTTTTAATATAAATTAATTTTGATGTTTATTTACTTTAATGTATATTTCAATTTAAATAAATATATAAAAATATGATACTCAAGATAACTGTATACTCACCAAATTATTTCCTTAGAAGATTTTGCCTTAAGCATTCTAATATATTGTCCCTAGTATCCATTGTATAAATGGATCAAATTCCTGTAGTATAAAATCTGAATAAGAGAGCCAGTTTGGTCTAGTGGTTAAGGCACCAGGCTGCAAACTGGGAGACCATGTGTTCAAATCCCATTTTAGCATGGAAATTAACTGGTTGACCTTGGGCCAGCCATTCTCTCTGCCCAATCCACTTTACAGGGTGGTGGTTATGAGGAAAATGGCAGGAAGAAGTATTAGGTGTATTTGCTGCTTTAAGTTATTTGTAAAAATAATAAAGGTGGAATACAAATAAATAAATACCAAAATCCAGTAATGGCTCTGGGAATACCTAATAATACAAGGAATAAGTTTTAAGTTGTGTGAATCTAACCTTTGTTGTTTTGGAAACCATTCGGGTTTCTATGTATGAGAGAATATATTTCTAAGTATTTCTATGATGAGAGTGACTTCTCAGCTGAACAGTCTGTATTTCATAACCTAGGCTATCAGGTGCAAATTGGCTTATATTAAACCATGTAAAGAAGCCACTGAATGGACTGTCCAATCAAAGGACAGATTTGAACAACTGATTCAGGACAAATGTATGCTCTGCTTTGTTACTGGTAAGTATTTATCTCTCTGCCCAGACAACATTAATTCCTGTCCTGCTTACCATTGAGTTGACTACTGCAAGAAACCTTAGGGCTGATTTTGCAAACAACCTGAACATTTCACCTTGGCACAAAACTCAGTGTCTAGATTGCCAGTGTAAAATACTGTTATATTGACAGTAGGCTTCCAGACCCCATTCAAAATGCTGGTTATTGTCTTTAAAGCTGTGTAAACTAAAGCATCAGAATATATGAGGAACAGAATTAAATCCATGTTTAAAATACCTAGAGAAGACCTGTGAAGAGTTCCTATTCTCATGAAGTGTCTGTCATGATTGCCACCCTACGGAATACACTCAAATGAGAGATGATTGGCCCTATTTCTCTTCAATTACTGCAAGCAGGTCAATGTTACAGGTAGTCCTTGTTTAGTAACCACATGGACCACATTTGATTTTCTGCCCTGTCTTGTCCTCCAAAGGTCATAAATTTTTCATTACCATCTATTTATTTATGTATTTATTGTTTATGTTTATATACCGCCCTTCTCCCGAAGGACTCAGGGCGGTGAACAGCCAACAGATAAAACACAAGAAATACAGAATTTAAAAACAGTATTAAAATCCAATTAAATTAATTTGGCCCACAATTAAAAGCACCCCTGTATTAAGACCCACAATTAAACAATTTAAAAATTAAAACAATTTAAAAGAGTTATGCCAGCCCGGCTTGCTGGAATAAAAACATCTTTAGGGAACGGCGAAAGGTGCGAAGATCCGGGATCCGCCGTATCTCCGGGGGCAGCTCATTCCAGAGGGTAGGTGCCCCCAGAGAGAAGGCTCTCCCCCTAGGGGCCGCCAGTCGGCATTGTTTGACTGACGGCACCCTGAGGAGCCCCTCTCTGTGGGAGCGTACTGGTCGTTGGGAGGCTATTGGTGGCAGAAGGCGGTCTCGTAAATACTACTATTACTATAGTAGTAGTAGTAGTAGTAGTAGTAAGGACTATGTTTTCAGTCTTCAGTTGATTTGGGGTATTATCATTGGGAGTATGATTACATGGATGTTTTAACTATCTTCATATATTCTTTAATGCTGCTGCTTTTCTGTTATTCATGATATAAATGAAAATACTTTCAGTTAAATATCTGTTGATTAACAATTAAATGATCAAAGATCAGTTGTTTACTCTGTTCTTGTTCGGAGAAGAGAGTCCTCTGAGGGGTAATTCTTTCTAATAGTCTTGTGAAAATCATAGTTGAGGAGATTTGTAAATTCTGCTATAATTTCCACTTTCTTGCCAAGTTATCTATTTGGAAGCTTTTAGGTAGTCACATATACCTAAACAGCAGTGCAGGAAGAACTCATCCATTACCCGGTTCACTTAATATATATCAATTCATTTGGTTGAAATCACTTGGAGTTCAGGCTTAAAAGATATTGGGTGATTATAGGACATAATGTTATTTTCATAGTTATTTTCTCTTAAGCCAAACTCGATTGCAGAAAATATGATTTCAGCAACAGAGTAGTCAATGCCTGGAATGCACTACCAGACTCTGTAGTTTCTTTCCCAAACCCCCAAAACTTTAACCTTAAACTGTCTACTGTTGACCTCACCCCATTCCTAAGAGGTCTGTAAGGGGGCGTGCATAAGTGCACCAGCGTGCCTACCGTCCCTGCCCTAATATTCCTTTTTACTTATTCTTTTCATGTATTCAAATTATGTTTATACTTTTACCTGTTATCTTATATATGCTTGACAAATAAACTTATGACTTATGACTAAGCCACGATTAGGTGGGTTCACACAATATTAAGCAACACATCACTGCTTATAAAACACATTAAACCAAAACAAAACCATATTACAGCATAGAGAAAAATATTCATTATCTTAATTTGGAATAGAGAATAGTTGAATCATTAGATCATTTTTTTTCCTCAAAATTCAGCAGATTTGAATGTATTTTCCTCCCTTTGTAGAAAAATCAGAAGATAATGTGCTATCTGTTGAGCTCTATCAAAGTGTACGTGTGTCCCCAAAGCAGTCAGGCAGTGTGAACAATCTTTTGGTTAAAGAGGGCTTAGCATCTTACATAATAGGGTAAGTATGCTTGTTAGCTTGTCATAGCAACTGTACTAGAGTTTGTACAATATTTCAGCGTATTTCTCATATGCAACTTTGAGCTAATTAGGATACATAGTAATTACTGTGGACATGTTTCAGCTTTTTTGGGATTGGTAGTAGGTATATGCCAATATAAATGAAATTGATTTTCTTTTTATAGTAATAACAAAATGATTGTTACACCATATAATGAAAAATGGGATCCTGATATGGAGGATATATTCAAAACAGAGAAATTTTCATTAAAACTCGAGATTGAAGACTTGCCACAGATGGAAGATTTGGTTTTGGAAAGTAATAAAGAATTGCAAGTGCAAATTAATCACATTGTATCTCCTAGCAAGATATTTGTGCATTTTATGTTATCAGAAAAAATTCTAAAAAGGTAAGGGAGCAATTTGGTGCCACAAAATGTATTTTTGATGAAAACGCATAAAGACTAAATCATTGTGCCATGTTTACTTCTCTAGAACTGATTAGCTTGATTGACAGGGACTTTAATAGTAAGGAATAACAGTTTGACACCTTTTCACAGATCTTCAAAATTAATTTTTAGAATCATTTTGAAAAATCTAGATTGATGATGTGATTTACTTTTTAAAACTTTAGGTTACAGGAAAAGATGATTGCTACTTACTCTGAAACAGAGAATAAAGCAATTAAGTGGGAAGTTGATATGAATTGTGCTGCTTATATATGTGAACAAAATCAATGGCAAAGAGGCCAGATCATCAGGATTGTTTCTGAAAAAGTTGTAGAGGTAAATAATTTTAAGAAGTTGTCTCAGATGCAAAACAATTCCTTATAAATGGAAGGAATTCATCAGTAAGTATGTTTTGCAACATAGTTTTACCCTGGTCTAATCTTAATTTGTTAACTATTTGTTGAGCAGACAAAAAATAACGTGGCTAATGATCATTATTAACAATTGTTTAAATCTATTAACCATTGAATCAAACCAGCCAAATTCTGGCTTAATATGGCAGGTGAATGAGATACTAGTTTATAGAACAGCTTGACGTTAGAAAATACTATAAATTGTCATAGAACTCTTCAATTTGGCAATAAAATATCTGAAAAATGAAATTAAAATATATACCTAAATGATCAAGTTCAATATGTTTTGCTGCCTTTGGCCTTGGTCTTTTGTAAAAAGTCAACATTAAAAATTAGAAATTAAAAGAAGTCCAAAATAATAATATTCTCTAACATAGATTAATGTGCCATTTTTTAATTAATGTGCTGTTTAATCACATGTTGTTGCAGTATTGAGAATTAAGGTGAGGTTGTACTCACATCTAGTAATAATAATAAAAAGAATGGGTTAATTGACAAAGACAATCAGAATTAGTAAAGAGAAAACTCATCTAATTTTTTGTTTAATGTTTCTTTTGCAGGTATTCCTTATTGATTTAGGCATAATCAAAACATTGGATATTACCTGTCTAAGAGAACTTGAACAGAATCTGAAGACTATCAGACCACTTGCAGTAGAGTGCTCATTAACAAATATAAGGTAATACATCCATTTACTACTTCCTGCAGTAAACTACTACAAGCCCATGTAGATTAAGCCAAACCAAAGCTAAAATAAAAATCTGCTTGCAGAGCAGAATTCTGTATGGTAAGAGATGTATAATTTTACTGTTATACTACCTCAGATAACAATGGCAATTGGGACCAAAATTTCCCTCACCAAGTGGTGCAAACTTAAAGTGTGATGTCACGTGACCATATTCCTTAGCAACAGCAATCCCGCAGTTCCTATTGCTGTTGTTAACTGAATCCCACCTGTCATTAGGCGAGCATCTATCCAAATCCAAGCTATTCCTGGCATGATTCCTTCTAATTCTGAGACTTGGTAAGAAAAAGGACTGCCTACTCTTGAAGTCCCCCTAACCACCTATTTTCCCCCATCACTGCCCTTTTGGTTGTCCTGTACAGCAGTATCCTCCGTGGTGGTGGCAACTCTGGAGCTAAAGTAAAGTCTGGGACCTTTAGTATTCTCCACAGCCACTATCCTTGGGCCTCTATTTAGCCACTGCTGCTGTGTGCCTCTCAAATCCTCTGCCATGGCCAGCTAACCCAGAGCCACAGTGTAAAGTCCCAGCTATGCCACCTCAGTTGACCTTCACCCTCTTCTCCCACTTGCTGCTTCCTTGCCTCTGTTTCAGCCCCAGCCCTACCACAACTCAGCCGAGGGCCCAGGGGAGGGGAGGGGGAGGGGCAGTTATTATTAACGAAGGTCTTGGTCCGAGGGAGACCATTGTGCCACAGATTGCCGGATGTGAATCCCTCTTTGTGAGATGGGGTCATGGGGTTCAGATGGGCTTGTTGGCTTGCGTACCTGGCTCCCTGCCGCGTGGCAACGGCCCTGCGCGAGCTCCTCGATGTGATAGCCATGGTGGCAGTTGATACACCCACATAACATTGCTCCTGCGCGAGCTGCACTGGCTCCCAGTGGTCTTCCAGGTGCGCTTCAAGGTGTTGGTTACCACCTTTAAAGCGCTCCATGGCATAGGACCTAGTTATCTTCGAGACCGCCTGCTGCTACCAACAACCTCCCATCGACCCATGCGCTCCCACAGAGAGGGCCTCCTCGGGGTGCCATCAGCCAAACAATGTAGGCTGGTGACCCCCAGGGGGAGGGCCTTCTCTGTGGGGGCACCTACCCTATGGAACCAGCTGCCCCCAGAGATAAGGAGAATCCAAGACCTCGGTGCCTTCCGCCGTGCCCTTAAAACTTTCTTTTTTCATCAAGCCGGGCTGGCTTAACATTTTTAAATTTTTAATTTTTAATTGGTTTGTCATTTTAAACTGGGGCCAAATTAATATATATTCTTTTAATTGTTCTTAATGTTTGTAGTATGTTTTTATCTGGCTGTACACCACCCTGAGTCCCTTGGGAGAAGGTGTGGTATATAAATTTGAAATAAAATAAAATAAAAAAATTAACTGAAGAGTGCCACTATGCAGAGCAGTGAAAAGCTGGGTAGGGGAGTTAGGCAGATGAGGAAGTTGCAACATTCCCAGGTCATAAGTGCAAGCAGGCTGCTAAGTATCTGAATTTTGATGATGTGACTATGGGGAGTGCTGCAACAGTATAACTTCAAGGACCTGGTGTAAGTCCCATTTGTTCAGTACTGGCATAACTTCAGTTGTTAAACAGATTTCCATCTGTATAACAATATTCCCCCTCTGTCCACAACATTTCATTCTAGACCATCCGGTGGGACCGAACAGTGGACGGCAACTGCTTGTGATGTTCTTAAGTCTTATTTAACTGGAGCTGTTGTAAACTTAATAATACAGGTTTGTACTGGCAAATGTTCAATTTTTTAGTGTAGATTTTATTTCAGGGACCGTTACTCAACTGAAAGTATAAGATATTATCATATGATACTAAACATTGTACATTATGCATACAAGATTTAATGGACACCCTTACCGTCAGTTTTCTGTAAATCAAGATTTTAGTATATTTGCTAATTGTTCAGCAAAATCAACATTTAGGCTAATTTTTTAGACCAAGCCATGATGCTCTTTTTAGCTAATGCCTATGATATTTTGGTGGTCTGTAACAAACTATTTAAGATTGGAAAACAATACAGTAAACTTCAGAGTTTTGTAACTATTTAAGATGATTTAAATGAGGGAATTTTGAGCCAGTACCTGCATTTTGCTTTTAATTTTGCCAAGTACTGTCCTCCAAAAAATGAGTGAAATCAGGACAAAGAGATTTACCTAAGTTATTATCAGTATTATTGTTAATATTATTTGCCACATATTTGATTCTCTGTTTATCATATTAAAACATTTGATTTGGTAGCAGCATTTGATTTTGATTTGGTAGCACCTGCAGGATGGGTGGCACGCTGAGAAAGTCTTTCCCGAGGCCTGATAACCCCCCAGTCGTGGCTGGATCCATGCTTCCCTCTCCCGTGCCCTTACACCTGAGAAGTGAATTATCAGCTTAGTGTCAAGCTGGTTGCAAAGCTGGATCTGCCCATCATACTAAGCCAGGTCTGTTCGAGGCAGTGGCTTGTTGGAAAAATTTGATTCCAGCCCCTGAAGCTCCCTAGGACAGTCCTTCTCTCTTATCCCATCCTACCACGTAGGGATGATATTATGGGGGGAAAGAGGAGGAGGAAGGACTGCACAACACTGCCTTTTGCTGCAAGGCAGAATATAAATCAAATAAGCCAGCCATTGTGGTTTATTGCCATATACAGAACTGTCTCTCTTGTGGGTAATTTTTTGAATCCTGCCTTGGGCAGAGGGTTGGACTAGAAGACCTCCCAAGTTCCCTTCCAGCCTTACAATTCTATAATTCTATTGGGAGAAGCCACCCACAGTTCTAGGAGCAAAAGATAACCTTAGCATTTCAGGTTGCACATTTCTGGTTTAAATCTTACTTGTTGATGAGCGCAAGCATCTTAGAATGAAAATATTTTCTTTTATATATGTTCTCAATTTTTTTCCAAATCTCATATTTGTGTCCCATTTATAAATCTGCTTTTTAATTAAAACATGTTCTTTAATTGTAAAAGCTTGCGTTTTTACTACTGCTGTTTTGTGTACAGACTAAGTTGCCCCAAATTCCAGAATAAGTACCTAAATTTTGTCACTTTGTGGATGTAGTATGTCTGAAAATTGGATGTTTGCAATATTTGGAAATAGGGTAACTGGCACATTTTCTTTTTCAATGAATAATTGATTTTTACCCCTAAACATTCTTAATTATCCCAGGATACCAACTTGTCACCTTTGCCTGTAACAATATTTTGCAAACATGAACAACACTGTACTGATGTCTCAGAATACATGATTCAAGAAGGCTTAGCACTTAGAAAAAGGTATATATATATTTTAAAGTGAATAGTGGTTATTCATTTTCAAATGTATTTAAAATAGTTGTTTTCTATATAAAATTAATGCTTTAATTTTATCTGTAATTCACTCAATTATAAATCAACAGAAAAATGTGTAGTCTAAGTTCAGAATGGGACAACTCGCTGTGGACAATTTGCCGCGGCCAACTCGCCATGGGCCAACTCGCTGCGGACAATTCAACAATTTAATATAATTATTTAAACTAGTTAAAAAATTATTTTGAGTTTTGGTGTTCACATTTCATTTTGTCCCTCCTTTGGCATCCTTTCCTTAATGAGTTTATTCCACTATTTCTTCAATATTAGTGTAACTTTTGTCCTACAGTGAGTTGTCCCGTGGTGAGTTGGCCATGGCAAGTTGGCTGCAGTGAGTCGGCCATGGTGAGTTAGATACAGGTGCAATATTTAAGGGGAGTATTTGATTTTGTAAAATTTGCTGACATATGTTCTGTTGAATCCTAATAGAACACCTAAAATTGATCCAAATCAATCTTCCTCTGACGAACTACAAAAGAATGTGGACATAAACAAGCTGGTTTCAGAAAAAGAAAGTCCTTCTAAACTAGAAAAGCATTTGGGCCCTTCAGATACTGATAGTAAGCAACAAGAACTGAATATGTCAGTGGCTAAGCCTCTAGTGGTTGAGGCCTATAAACCACCAGCTCTTCCTACCGTGGATTGCTTCAGTGCTGTGGTTAGCTGCGTTTCAGATAATGGGACAATTTATGCGATTCCCACGTCACAAGGTAAAGTAAAAAATACATTTGTACAATTATGATAGGTGTTAACATAATTTCAAAGAAATGTATATAAATGTAATAGGTACTGTTACAGACAATCAAGTCAAAAATGACTCTTCGTGACAACAGAATTCACTGCAGTTTTTTCTACATTTTTCAGGACCTTTCCAGAACCTTCTTTTTAGTTCTGGCTTCTGTGTCAAAGGCAGGACTAGAACTCATGGATTTCCAGTTTCTAATCTAGCACTTTAACCAGTAGGCCAAACTGACTGTCTGTAATTGGAGTAGGGGCATTGAATTTCAGTAACGTGATCAATCATCAGTGATCAGTCATTATATATAACTGTATTTAAAAAAACGTTTGGAGAGATTCTCATACCAAATGTGTAAAGAATATTTATAAGTGACTGACTTCATAGACTATTGTGAGAAGGAATGATTTGTACACACATACAGCCCCTATTTTTCATTTACTCTAGCATAGAAAAATAGTATTTATTCATGTTTCTGTGTATACTAACTGAGTTTCTATTGAATTCAATGCAACCTGAATTCACTGATATTTCATAAAGTTCTATATAAAGAGAGATATAGATAATATATAATTAATAATTCTTTTAAAATAATTAAAATACTATATAATTAATATATAATTAATATAATAACTAATAATAATAACCATCTTGACTGCAATTCTAAAACATTTGGAATGCCCTTTGAACACCATCAGCAATGACAAAATCACCTTTAGTCAGTTTGCAGAAGGCATGTCTATTTGGAACAGCTTACATCCTACAACAATATTTCTAACAGCATCTTCTGCCTATCCCAGATCTTTGGGAAGAACTCAATAGGTGGATAAAAATACTGAATGCAGTTTAAATATCCTGCTGACTGTGCAGTCAGGTATAAATAATATATTAAATTTACATACTGCCCAATTCCCAGCAACTCTAGATGTTTACTTTGTTTTTAATAAACAAGAATCAAGATGACAGAAATGACAAAACTGGACAAGAACAAAGAAAAAAACAGCCACTACAATCTAAAGAGGGATTTGGTTGCCCTTTTCAAAGATTCGGGCCAAAGTATTTGTTTATTTGTACAAGTATTTGTACAAGTATTTGTTACCTGAAATTCTGAACATGCACATGTTCCTTTACCATCCACCTCATATTCATTTGTTCATTCATTCAATTTCTGTAATCGCCCATCTCAATCAATGTCAGAGGCATGAAAATATATTTGTCATAGTAGCTATAAGTTGGTTATGGAAATAAATATTATGACTAGCAGTATCTATATCTGCAGGAAGAGCATGCATTACTGCTGCTCTTCCTGTAGCTCAGCAGTCTCCAACTTTTCTGGCACCAGGGACCAGTTTCAGATAGTTTCGTGATCAACCTAGATGATGAAGCTTTGCTTTCTTGCTCATCGCTTGTTGGCCCAGTTCATGTGGCTATGGGCCAGTACTAGTCCGTGGCCCAGGAGTTGGTGACCCCTGCTGTAGCACTTGAATTCTCTGCTGGATTCATTGCTGTAGAAAACTAATCTATACATGTATGCATATTATATGTTTTAGCAGTGACATATATGCAGTTATATATTGAATTGTTAAAAGTATTGGAGAAAAGGAACATTGCCAATGATGATCAGCCTGGGAGACCAAAATTGGAAAATATACAACAGTGGCAAAATTGATGATATATATCCATATTAGGAGTTGAGCCGAATTGAAGCAGGAGTGGCTCCCTTTCACACAAGACAGTACACAGCAAGGCAAATTGAGACAGTTGAAATATGGTTTCTGGAAAAAGTTATGAGACAAGTTAGAAATAATAGATGAAAACATTTAAAAAGAAGCTATCAATAACCCTTAGTGATCAGTGTAAAATAGAAATATTTAAATTGCACTTAGTAGCTGGGGACACAAAGGGAAGGGAAGAGATCTATGTATCACTAGAAAGTTTTTCCACAATGCTTTTTATTCATAGTGGGGGGAGGAGGAGGAGGTTGTACCCATTTATATTTTCCCTTTGTATTGCATTGTCTAGAATAGAATAGAATAGAATAGAATAGAATAGAATAGAATAGAATAGAATAGAATAGAATAGAATAGAATAGAATAGAATAGAATTCTTTATTGGCCAAGTGTGATTGAACACACAAGGAATTTGTCCTGGTGCATACGCTCACAGAGTACATAAAAGAAAAGATAAATTCGTCAAGAATCATAAGGTACAACACTTAAATGATAGTCATAGGGAAACAGTCAATATAAATCCTAAGAATACCAGCAACAGGGTTACAATCATACAGTCATAGGTGGGCGGAGATGGGTGATAGGAACAATGGGAAGATTAATAGTAATGCAGATTTAATAACTAGTTTGAGGGAATTATTTGTTTAGCAGAGTGATGGCGTTTGGGAAAAAACTGTTCTTGTGTCTAGTTGTTCTGGTGTGTAGTGTTCTATAGCGTCATTTTGAGGGTAGGAGTTGAAATGTCCAGGATGTGAGGGGTCTGTAAATATTTTCACAGCCCTCTTTTTGACCCGTGCAGTATACAGGTCCTCAATGGCAGGCAGGTTGGTAGCAATTGTTTTTTCTGCAGTTCTAATTATCCTCTGAAGTCTGTGTCTGTCTTGTTGGGTTGCAGAACCAAACCAGACAGTTGTACAGGTGCAGATAACAGACTCAATAAGTCCTCTGTAGAACTGGATCAGCAGCTCCTTGGGCAGTTTGAGCTTTCTGAGTTGGCACAGAAAGAACATTCTTTCTTGTGCTTTTTTTGAGGTTTTTGATGATGGGTGTCCATTTTAGGTCATGAGATATGGTAGAACCTAGAAATTTGAAAGTCTCTACGGTTGATACTGTGTTGTCTAGTATTGTAAGCGGTGATAGTATGGGAGGGTTTTTGCTAAAGTCCACCATTTCTATGGTTTTGACTGTTCAGTTCCAAATTGTTCCGGTCACACCACGAGGTTTAAAAAATACTTTTTATTAAAGCTTTATAACGGACATAAAAACTAACACAAATTAATAAAAAAAGCAGAAAAGAGAGAAAATAAAAAAGACAAAAGTGCAGAAAGAAAGAAGAAACATTCAATTTCCTTTGCAGCAAATATAAGTACAGTTACAAAGTTTTCTCTTACTCTAAAATTACAAAAGAAAGCTCACTCTCTTCTATTATCCAGCCTTTTTTAAAATCAGAAACCCTGAATCATAGATGCATTTTTTTTTCCATTTTACACAAAAAGTCTATAATGTGTTTCCAGTCAGCCATAAAAATAGAGACTTTTTTTTCCTCTAAAAAAAAGAAGTTAATTCAGCCATCTCTGAAAATTCCACCATCTTTACCAACCATTCTTCCATTGTGGGTATTACTATAATTATCCACTTTTGAGCATATAATCGCAATATATAAAACGGTTCCATGACATTTTTCTAGCTACTTATCCATTTAGCCCTAAAGAAAAATCTTTTATTTCAATTGTATTTTAAACTTTAAAATTTTCAGAATTAATGTATGTATTTGTATCCATTTTTTTTTTTAGTTTTTTTACATATCCATCAAGCAAGATAAAATATCTCCTCATGTTGTTCATATTTCAAGCATTGTATGCAAAGATAGTATTGCATTATCTTAATAAAAAAAACCAATTAAATTGTTAAGAGAGATAATAACCTTAACACCATTTGCTTGAATTTTTCCTAGAGCAAAAGTTAAAAGAGTTAATGTGTAATATACAAGATAATGTCAAAGGTTTAGGCCTTCTGAAATCCTATAACTGGAAAAGTGGAGAAGCTTGTGTTGTAAGAGCAGCAGATACAATGTGGTACCGAGGTGAAATTAAAGAAGTTGGTGCTGGCATTGTAAGGGTAAGAGTGACGTTTTTAAGAACATTCTGGTTTTCACAACTACTGTTTTTTTTTTTCTTGTGTTTTTGTTAAAATGAAGGCAGTATTGTCTATGGAGATTCTCAGTCAGTCCAGGTCATGGTTGTTTCAAAGGTGTTTTTTCAAAAGGCAACTGGACTTCCTTTGTTTTTCCTTGAAGATTTTTCGCTTCTTATACCAGACCACCTATCTCCTGTTTACAACACAGTCCTTTCAGCAGCTCCAAGAAGGTTCCACACATATTTGCACTACTCAGGTGACTGTGAGGGCACAGATAAACCACCAAGTGGCTTCAGCAATTTTCAGAAAGAGTGCTAACGATGAGATGACTGCAAGGAATATAAATCCTTCCAACTTCCACCATTCAGTCAGAACTGAAAAAGCTTATTGGATGAAAGGCAAAACATCTTCAAGGCATAAAAAAGTCTAGTGGCCTGGTGAAGACATTGTTATAAAAGTATAGTCCTTCCTTTGTTATAAAAGTCCTTTGAGTATACTTCCTACTATTTACTGCACAGGTAGTAGATGCTTGAAAAGATGAGATTTCTGCTGTTTTATGTGAGGGATAATATTTGTGAAGTTAGCAATAGGTTCACAAAATGAACACATTCATTTTCAAGAAGCATTCCCTTTTTTTAGTGCCTCTTGCTTCCCATTTATGACAAACACAATGCAGAAAAAATACCAAACAATCTATCATTGCCCCTTGCAGGTTAGTATTTTAGAAACTAATTCAACTAAATAAATCTTTTCTTAACATTATATATGAATCAGTTTGCTGTGTCACATCTACTTTCCAAAACTATATGACAGGAAATAGGTTGTGCAGCCTTTTTGTGCGTTTGTGCATGAGAAAAGTTTTTCGAAAAGAATTACATCATGAAATGTAAATACTGATGTACTTGTTCTTGTGTATTGTTTCTTTTCATAGGTACATTATGTGGACTACGGATATACTGAGAAAATTCCTCCATGCCATCTGTACCCCACTATTTTGTATGCTGAGATACCTCCATTTTCTATACCATGTCATCTGTATAAAACTGTACCAGTGAGTTAAATGCTATGATTCGAACATAATGCATTTCTACAGGACAATGTATGAAAATGTACAAATAATTTACCTGTCTGATACAGTGCACCGGTAATTGTATCAGTATTGTAGTTCATGCCTATCATCAGCAGAATTGGGCATATATTCCTTTTTTCTCTTTCCGCATTGAGAGAAGTTTTGGATACATATTTCACTCTGTAATGATAAAATGCTTTGGGAATTTTAAGGTTTTCCAAGGCTCACTTTCCATAGAAGTAGACTACTAGAAAGTGGTAGGCTTTAAATGCATACAAGCTGTATATTAGATGAAAGTGTTCAATGTTAATGAACCCTAGTGGCGTCAGAATGCAGTATTGCAGGTTAAACTCTGCCCATAGCCAGGAGTTTTATCTTAATGGGGCTCAAGGTTGACTCAGCCTTTCATCCTTCCAGGATCTGTAAAATGAGGAGCCAGATTGTTGTGGGCAATATGCTGACATTGTAAACTGCCTAGAGAATGCTGTAAAGCACTATGGGGTGGTATATAAGTGTTATTGCTATTGCTAATATTAACTCTCTAGCACAGGGGTGTCAAACTCAGGACCGCAGGCCGAACAGGACTGCAGGGTGTTTAGATCTGGCCTGTGGAGCAGTCCTGGAAACAGCAAAGGACTGGGCCACAATGCCTCTGCCAACACGGCCCTCCCAAGCTCTGTTTTTGCTGGCAGAGGGTTGCAGGAAGGCGTCACGGATGAAAACGGAGATCAGGAGCCCATTTTCGCTGGCAGAGCGCTCGAGTCACCACAGGTGCCCCCGATGAGTGATGTCAAGCTGGCCACGCCCACCCTGGCCACGCTCACCCCTCCCACCCACCCACCCCGAGGTCAAACGCAACCCTGATGCGGCCTTCAATGAAATTGAGTTTGACACCCCTGCATTAGCATGTTCCTAGGCCCAAGCTTATTTCTAAGGCAATGCAGAATACCAGTTTTCATTCTAGTTCCAGCACAAATCGCCTACCTCCTCCATATGCAGATCTTGTTGCTTGTCTCGTCTTGTAAAGCGAAGAAAATTAAATCATCTAAGCTGTCATCTACACTGAGTGAAAGCAACGCACTTGTACATATTTCCCTCCGTATTAAGTGTTTTAATATTCTCTGGGTTATTTAAATTCTATTAAATGACCAGAACACTTTAGTAAGATTGTAAAGTCAAGACCTACCTCCAGGCTTGATTTGCCTGAATGCTCTGGGTGGAACCAGATAATTTTCAATGAAGGAAAAATGAAAGGTGATGCTTTGTGTATAACAGTTCCTACAACACAGAGTACACAAAAATAAGGAAAGGGTGTGATTTTATTGTAAGGAAAAGAGAGACTTGGGTTTATTTGATTGAAAGTAGGAAACGGAAACCAAGAATTCGGTGGAAAAAAATGGGTTTTGATCTGGGAGAAGCAGCATGGAGATTAAGGCACAAGTAGAGATAACAGAAGAAACAAGGAAAAAGTGTGGATGTGTTGGCTATTGGATGACTTATGATTGTGCTAAAGAACAAATGATACGCTGAGGATGTGGAATGAAAAATAATGGTGTGAATGAAGAGGTGTTACTGAAGAAAAAACAATCAAAAGTTTGTATTTAGAGAGTCAGGTTCTACTTCCTTCCTCTTGCTCAGATTCTTGGTAAGCTATTGCTATGTAGTCCCAAAAGGTTTCCTTTTCTATGAAATGTAAGTAGTTGTACCTATAGGAGCTAATTTGTAATAGCATCTGAGACAATGCTTTGAAATTCCAACTGGCTCCAAAGATTGTTTTCCAATATTTGCCTTTTTGAGACATTCTAGCTCCAGGATAACAGCAACTCTCCATTGCCTTTTTCAAGTTTTAGAGAATATACCAGATGTTAATTCCAATTGTTACATAAGGCTTCCATCAACAGAAGCCTTAAGTAACAGTTGGAATTAAAAATATTGCATGGGACCATTTTGGCCAACCCAGTAGCTCATAACATTCTTAATAGTTCTTTACGAGATCACAAAAGGTAGGTCTGTTCACGTGAACATGGCTGATCTTTGTCCTTGAAACATCTTGGTATGTCATGAAAAAAATGCAGTTGTGCTTAACCTCTGCTTTTGGGTGAACTGGAACTTGATCATTTTCTGCTTCATGACAATTCTTTCTCCAGATTAGCTAGTCTTGTGAATGGAGGTTTTGGATCAATGGCTTTTCATAGTTGATTATCGATTGGTGTATTTTTCCTCATGATCATTTAGGTTGGCAACATTTGGCAGCACGACGCAGTTGAATTGCTTAAAGAACTACTTACGAGAAGATCTGTTAAAATACGCATAATGGTATGTCTTAACACTGTATCTTTTATTCATTACTTCAATCAGATGCTATCCTTAGCAAAGGCTTGAGGGGGAGCTAAAAGTAAAAACAAAAACAATTCCCTTAATCAAAAATAAATAAATTTAACAGACAGACAGATAGATAGATAGATAGATAATTTTATTTCTATACCGCCCCTCTCCCGAAGGACTCGAGGCGGTGCACAGCCAAGTAAAAAACACAATACAAATCCCAATTAAATTTAAAAATTATTAAAATTATTACATTTATGGCCAAAATTCGTTAAAAGCCAAAAATTTAAAACTCCGAATTTAAAACTCCTTATGTACTTATAAAATAAGTACAGTACCAGTATTACACAGAAAGAAAATTCACAATTTCTTATTACGCACATATCAAATAACGTCTGTAATAAGGCCTACCCATCCATGATCTAATAATGATTAATAGGGATAATCTGCAATGCTTTACTGAAATCCTATTGGGTGAGGAGGAGGAGATCCCCCTTTCAAAAATAGGCTTCCTGGGTTTCAGATATGATACCAGCCAAAACACTGGGTGGGAAGTGTAGTCATTACTGTCCAGAAGTCTCTGATGACTACCAGCCATGCTGCTCCACAAATAACCACATATGAGATTCTGTGAAGCTGGACCTTAAGAATCAGATAGGTTTGCTGCTTGTGTATGAGCCTCCATATGCTTAATTCTGTGACAGATTGGCAGTGATATTCACCAGGCTTATGGCCACCATGGACTTGATCAAAGTTATCAAAAGCCTGATTCATAGTTTTGGAGGGCTATGTGTGTCTGCAATGCTAGATCTGATTTTTTTTACCCCAGGTCATGATCTGGAGTTGAGGGATAGCCCTTAGATGATGTTATTAGACCCTGGTCATTGAGAGATCACTCCCTGTTTGCCATGGAGTTCTCTGTAGGAAGGAGCAATTTGTTCAATCTGCTCCAAAATGGATCTAGCAGGAAGACTAGGATTCAACACAACCAGAGCATGACTGAATGGCTGTAGATTTAAAGGTCCCCTAGATCTGGAGATCTTCTGTCATTCATTCTGGAAGAGATTGTACTCTCACGGACAGAGTTGGTGGGTAATCTAGAGGTTTTCCAAATAAAAGTTCAAGTCTTTAATCACTTCAAAAACGTGATAGTTTTAATTCATCACCTGAAACCTGAAGGAAGGAGCAGAACATATTCGTCATAGGGAGCCAAAGTATGGAAAATGTCAGTCAAAAATTTTTGCTTCCAAGGTATCATAAGATAGCATTTTCACATAGACAAGACCAGGAAGGAGTTGACCTTATTTACTGGTAATTGGATTGGAGGGACATTCATTTGAGGAAGAAAAAAAAGTAAAAAGAACATAGCTTCCCATTCTTTTTTCTTGATGAGTTCCACATGATTTAGTACAGAACCACACAGGGCCTTGAAAATGATAACCATTGTAAAGAGCCCTGAGGCAGTCTACATAGTAGAGGTGTCATTCACTTTTTCCTCCACCACCAACACTGACGGAACTGAAGAACATTGCTCTTCACTCTGATTCTGTGGAGTGGTCCAGAAGTATTGAAAATCTCAGAGCGACTAAAGATGTCCAGGAAGGTTGTGTTTCCTGATCCCAGCTTCTCCAGAGGTTGTCTACAAGTGCAACCAATGCAGTTTTTGGAATGCATCCTTGCCTGAAATCGGACTGTCAGGAGTCCGTTTTGCTCTGTGCACATGTAAATATGGAATGTGTGTCTTCAACAAAAGTAATTTCTTTTGGGGTTGATGATACATCTTGTCATGTGTGAGCATTATAGCAAGTATCTCAAATTACAACAGGCTTTCAGCGGTAAACACATGCCTGTTTTTAGAGCTGCTTTTAGTAGCAGACGGGATGGTAGTAATGAGAGTAGAGTAGAATAGAAATAGAATAGAGTAGAATAGAATAGAATAGAATAGAATAGAATAGAATAGAATAGAATAGAATAGAATAGAATAGAATAGAATAGAATAGAATAGAATAGAATAGAATTCTTTATTGGCCAAGTGTGATTGGACACACAAGGAATTTGTCTTGGTGCATACGCTCTTGGAGTACATAAAAGAAAAGATACATTAATCAAGAATCATAAGGTACAACACTTAATGATGGTCATAGGGAAACAGTCAATATAAATCTTAAGGATACCAGCAACAAGGTTACAGTCCTACAGTCATAAGTGGGAGGAGATGGGTGATAGGAATGATGAGAAGATTACCGTATTTTCCGGCGTATAAGACGACTGGGCGTATAAGACGACCCCCAACTTTTCCTGTTAAAATATAGGGTTTGGGCTATACTCGCCATATAAGACTGCCCCTCTTCCAATGCACACCAAATAAAAATTAAAAAACATCAACTGGCTCACCTACAATGTAAAAGCAGCTGTGCTAGACCCAGAATGGCCCCTGTAACAAGCAGGAACCTCACACAGCCACAAAAAGCCCCCCAAAAAACTTTCACACTCTAAACACACACAACACAACACAACTGGCTCACCCACAATGTAAAAGCAGCTGTGCTAGACCCAAAATGGCCCCTGCAACAAGCAGGAACCTCACACAGCCACAAAAAGTCCAAAAAACCAACTTTCACCCTTTACACACACCAAATTCCACATACAGCTTTGTGAGATTTTGTGTGTTTGTGTAGTTGGAGTGAAACACTACAGAAACACACTAAATCTCAGAAAGCTGCACAAATATTATTTTATTTTATTTTTATTTTTATATGAAAGCTAAATTTAAAACTTCCTAAACTTTAAATGGCTAGGTCTAAAAAAGAACAACTAAAAAAACCCCAATTGACTATTTTTTTTAAAGCTCCCAAAGGGGAAAAAAACTTACCCAATAGAACAGGAGTCTCCAACCTTGGCAACTTTAAGACTTGTAGACTTCAACTCCCAGAATTCCTCAGCCAGCTTTGCTTTGCTGGTTGAGGAATTCTGGGAGTTGAAGTCCACAACTAACTCCTTGCTTGATTCCAGGCAGGGAGTTGCTTGCTTGCCTGAATAGATTCAGGCAAGCGAAGCAAGGCAAGCGTTGCGACTAGCAGCTGAGGTAAGCAAGCTGGAGGGGGAAAACATTTTCCCTTTTACATGGCTCTGGCGATCCCAGCTGAGTTGCAGGGAACTCAGCTGGGATTGTCAGAGCTGGGATCCTCAGAGCTGGGATCGCCAGAGCCATTTAAGGCTCGTCAGAGCCTTTCGGGCTGGTCTGCCTGGTTACAGGAGAACGACACCCGGCGTATAAGACGACCCCCGACTTTTGAGAAGATTTTCATGTGTTAAAAAGTCGTCTTATACGCCGGAAAATACGGTAATAGTAATGCAGACTTAGTAACTAGTTTGACAGTGTTGAGGGAATTATATAATGAGTTTGTTAATCTTTCAACAGGAGCAGTCAAATCCTCCTTGGGGAAAAGTGTCCGTCAAACTCTGGTTTTCGGGGATGTCACTATCTTATTTCATGGCATTCCATAAACATTGTATTACCGAAGACGATGGTGATTCTATGCCAACATGGGTATTGGAGTTTTTTTTCCTCTTTTCAATCATTAACAGTTTAACTCGAATATTTCATGCTGAAACAAGTTTCTTGTCCAGAGATTGTACTATCAAGCATAGTGCTGGTTGTGATATTGTGGTCTTTGGGTCTTTAGTTAGAAGTTGGGTCAGTATTGAAAATCTTTTAGACGAGAAAAACTTTTATAAGTAATAAAAACAATGTTTATCACTGAGATACAAAAAACACTGATTTAAACTCTTACTGTAGTAAGAGAGTTACCACAACTACTTCCTCTTATATCACCAGTTCTAAACAGCATTCCTAGATGTAATCTGGAGCTCAAATTGCAGAACTAGTGCATAGACACCCCCCCCCCCCCCCCCGTATAGCATTTATTCTTTCTGGACAAGAATTTTGGAGTTTCTAGACAAATTCTTGGCAAAGAATTTGGAAACAAAAAGATAAAAATGTTTGCTATCATCAGTTTTGTTCTGGGACTGAGTTGCAAATTGAGGAACAATCTGTAAGACAGACCATAGCAATTTCAAGAATCTTATGCTGTTACATTGAATCAGTGATTGTGCCCCATCAAATTCAATGTAATTCCTCTTTTGTGCTTTTGCTATGCACTGTCTCACAACTAAATGAACTTCCTCACTTGGGAGCTGTTAAAGTTGTGCTGTGCAACTAATGTGATTTTGTTTTTAGCAGCCTTAGAACTCAGGTTGTGCATTTCTAGTTTCAATCTTATTTGCTTAAAATGAAAATAGTTCCATTTAAATCCTTTTCCAAATTACTCTCACGGTTGCTAACCTAGTACAATAGAACCTCTGGACATGAACACTTCTGACCACGACCAAATCGGGTTGCGACTAAAGTTATGGAATGAATTACGGTCATGACCAGAGGTTCTACTGTATTTGCAAAATTGTCACCCAAATATAAATATATTTATTGAAAGCAAGAAGCTCAATGTTAAAAAAGGCATTAAATTCATGAATTCAATTCAAATTGAATTCTGTGTATTACTGGCTAAATTGCCACAATCACGTTTATCACGTTGATACAGTATATCTGGAAATTGGGTGTATACACATTTTGTTTTTCAATCAATTTATTTTTCTACCCTAACAATTTTCTAATTTGTCTCAGGATAGTAGCTTTTCACTTTGTCTGTGAAAGTATTTCCTCTTACCTATCTTATTACCAGAATAGTTGTCAAACACCATCAGAATATAATTGCGCCAGCCATATAACTTCATGGTTTCTGAGGTAAATATAGATCATTTGTACAGGGCCAGACATTGGTTCCCTTGTACAATTTTTGAATGATAAGGTTAAATATTCTCTTTGGAACCACAAACCCTGTGCCTAATGAACTGGTTATGCTGTGACTAATTTCTTTTTTCTGTAAATTTGCTTTAGAATCCTCTAGGAAGCCTTCAGCTCTGTGTTACTACAGAATAAATGGCCCTTTTCTTTTGAAAATTCAGCAGTCTGTGGCTGACTTCTATTTAACTTATTTGAATATTTATTTGGCTGCGTCTTCAGATTTTATCCCTATCTTGCTAATAGTTTGCTTATACCATTTAGTATGAAGTTTGGGATTTGGACTCGAATAGAATTTAAAATACAGATAGAATACAAATAGAATAGAATAGAGCTGGAAGGAACCATGGAGGTCTTCTAGTCTGCCTCCTACTCAGGCAGGAGAACCTATACAATTTCAGATAAGTGACTGTCTAGTAGTATTTTCTTAAAAACTTTCAGTGATGGAGTGCCCACAATTTCTAAAGGCAAGCTGTTCCATTGTTAATTGTCCTCACTGTTAGGAAGTTTTTCCTTAATTCCAGGTTGCTTCTCTGATTAGTTTCCAACCATTGTTTCTTGTCCTGCCCTCTGGTACTTTGGAGAATAATTTGACCCCCTCTTTTTTGTGGCAGCCCCTCAAATACTGGCATACTGCTTTCATGTCACCCCTAATTCTTCTTTTCTTTAGACTAGCCCAACCCAACCCAGATCCTGCAGCCATTCTTCATATGTTTTAGTCTCCAGCAGTGATGGATTAAGGCTCACTGGTGCCCTAAGCACTGACAAATCTTTGTGCCTCCCTCCTTTGTTTTTTACAAATCTTCACTGGGTTTTTTTTCTTTCAACTTCATGGTGCCCCCTTTGAGCCTGGTGTCCTAAGTACGTGCTTAGTCTGCTTAATGGTTAATACACCACTGTCTCCAGGCCTTTGATTGTCTTAGTTGGTCTTCTCTGAACTTTTTCCAAAGTCTCAACATCTTTTTTGTAGTATGGTGACCAAAATTGATTGCAGTATTCCATGTATGGTCTTACTAGGATTTTATAAAGCGGTACTAATACTTCATGTTCCTGGCTTGCTTCTCAGTGCATCATTTCTGCAGTAATTAAGTCACCTTTAAACTTTTTGAACTCCTAGCCAGTATGTCACTCCAGCTGCTGTTGCTGAAGCCGATCCTTTCATTTTATGACTGCAAGACATGGTGGTGACTGGGCAGATTCTGGCATAAGACAAAGCCATGGTACAATCTGATTCTCTTTTTGTTACCTGATGCCTCCAATTTTATAGAATCTTCACGATGTTGTTCAAATCTTACGAAGTATTTTACCATCCCCATATAGGGCCACAAAGTTTCTGGCTATTTTGTAGTATAGGTAATCTTATAATTAATTTCCAGCTGAAAAACATTTCTGCTGCTTTGTGTATATTAAAGAGCTTTCTAAATGTGAGTCTGCGAAATTAATACTGTATTAAACTTTGAGTGTATATGTTCTAGGATTCAAGGTCGGAATGCAGTAATGAAACCTTGGAGGAAAATTGTGAAATCAGTTATGAGGTAAGGTTTAACACTAAATCAATGTAAGTGTTAGCCTTCATTGGTTCATTGGAGTCTTCATTGGTTGGGGGTGTTACTTGGAACCCTGACATTAAGAGTATTTAATACCTTAAATAAATGGTATTAGCTTCCTACTGTTACACTGCCTAGCACCAATAACATATTATCTATTACAATTTTGTTTCAAAGCTCAAGATGGATCATAGCTTTATGCTTTGTAAAATGGAATCGCCTTGGAACTTGTTTTGGATTTCTTCCTCTGTAGTGGTCCAGGAATGTTCATATGTTCAAGTGGCAATAGTCCTCCAATTAACTATATTCCAAAACCCTGTATTTCTCAATATTTAAAACGGCAGAGAAATTTGCTGGTCCCTAAATAATATGTGAATGTGAGTAGGGAATCTGTACAAAATAGTTTCCAGGACAAGTTGTTCCCAGTGCCTTCAGAAGCACTCCTTAGTGTTCTCTAGGGTTGTTTTGCAAATTGTGTTCTAATAATTTGCTTATTTTAGGGATTATTGAAGAGTGAACTAAAGACTCCTCTTTTGCCACCGTATATTTCTCCATCATTGCCTATCCTTGGAGAACACTTTCCAGTGAAAGTAACGCACATTGTGTCACCGAATGAGGTATCTTAATTAAAAATGTTGAACAAACACCATCATTAACAAGTCTGTTTTGTTCACCTCCGTTCACAAAAATTAAGTATTTTGTTTGTATTAGTGCTTTTAATTGAACTTCATAGAACAACTTACCTCATGTGAAGAAATAATTTTGTATTTTAAATTGAGAATTTTGTGTATCGATCTATATAATAGTAAAACTGTTATGCATCATAAGGCAACAATTTTTGAACCAATTTACCTCAAGTTACTTACAAAATATGTCCAAAATCCAGTACCCATTGGCCTCCCAAGGGAATGAAATTTGGGGAAGTTATGGCTGCTCAGTGGGGAAGCTGCCAGGAAATCAGAAGTTGCTTGTACTCCCACTGCTTTTTGCCTGCCCATGGTCATTGTTTCTCTGTTTAGGTAAGGAAATATCTCTGAAATGCAGTCATCTCTTCAAGGGAAAATGATTCAGAGAGTTTTTCCTCATCTACTTAATCCATTTAATGATGACATTTGAAAATTATTATTGGGAAATGACCAATAACAAACATTATCATAAAAACTATTAACATAAAAATTAAAATTCAATATATGGGATCTTTTAAGAGCCGTGGTGGCGCAGTGGTTAGAATGCAGTACTGCAGGCAACTTCTGCTGACTGCCAGCTGCCGGCAGTTTGAGTTTCATCGACTCAGGGTTGACTCAATCTTCCATCCTTTGGAAGTCGGTAAAATGAGGACCCAGATTGTTGGGAGCAATATGTGACTCTGTAAAACCCCTTAGGGTTGTAAAGCACTGTGAAACGGTATATAAGTCTAAGTGCTATTGCTATTGCTTTTATATAAAACAGTACACAATACAATAACTACAGCTCTAAATTTCACCAACAGCAGAAAGGAAGGCAGAAGATTTTTTTTTTCCTCTGAGTTTCTATGGCAATTCCACACAAATGATGTATCTGGTGGAATAACAAGCAGTATCTTCCCTACTCTTTTGGTACATTGCTTCTAATTTATACTAAGATACTCGCAGTCTATAGATCTTGCTTATTGAGTTCCATTTGGGACCTTTCAAAATCATCTAGGATTAAAGAAGTCACAGGACTTAATATTTCACCTGAATATTCTAACTGCTTCTTCCTCCACTCCAGAAAACTTTACTCTAGAGCAGGGATGTCAAACTCAAGTCGTCACCACGGCATCAGATGACATATCGGGACTTTTTTCTCCTTTGCTAAACCGGGCATGGGTGTGGCTAGCATGTGATACATCCGGCCGGCAGACCAGGAGTTTGACAGCCCTGATCTAGAGGAAGAATGCTAGAGCACAAATAAGGAATGTAAAACTGCTCAGCTCTAGAAGTGAAAAAGGTGCTCCTAAGGGGACCTAGGTGCGCTCAATGCACCTACCAGAGAACCTTAAAAAATGTAAGTTGTCCCCACCTTGTTAGCTCAAACATATTTTAGTTCAAGCATATAGAGCAGCAATACACCTGCAACCATGTCCCCTCTTTTCCACATCAGGTCCTAATAGTTGCACATCACAAGGAGAAATGAAATGTGAGTGAGAGAGAGAAGCTTATTCTTTGTAGAGAATCTCCCAAGAGATTAAATTTCTCTTGCTCAAATTCACTAGTTTAACATTTCTCTCTTCTCTTCTCCCCTCCCTCCCTATTTTTAAAAAGTCAGTGTTTCACCCAACTAAGAGTGGCAGATGTAAATAACTATATGCATATTTACATATAGCAGCCAGTGATGTGTTATTAACTTTCTGCTAATTCAGTAGCAGTTGGAGTGCAGCATAATAGGTTCACAGCCTTATAAAAATTTAGGATGCAGATAAGAAAATGTTAACAGACACCTGTACATTCCTCAATGGTCTGGAAAATGAGCAGCCAGAGAAGCGGTATTAGAAAGAAACAACATATCGCCACTGTCAACAAGTGAAAAAATAAACTGATTTCTAAAATAAAAGTAATGCAGTAATGGAAATTGTAGTAACCTGATCTCTTCCCTGCTAAATAACTTGATAAGGAAAAATGAGCATTTTGCTCTTAATGAAGTTGATTGCTAGGAATTTAATTCATAAATACATAACCCAAATCATGGGTGTGATTGATTTGGTTTTCAAAATAGAACCTTCCAGAGAAGAAAGGCCATTCCCGTCAGAAATTCCTTTTTCACCAGCATATGATTTTGTTTTTAAAAAAATATAAACTCTGTTGACATTGTACTAGATTTTAGTATTTACTTTTTGGCTTATTTGTCAGACTGCTCCCCTTTCTTTGGTTAAACTCAGGAAGGTTACCTCTCAATATATTATTATATCTTTTTTTTTTCATTTTAATAGATGTTTTTTTTTTTTACTTGAGAAGTGAATGACTTAAAAATATGGAACAATTCACGAATTTGCGTGTCATCCTTGCGCAGGGGCCATACTAATCTTCTCTGTATCGTTCCAATTTTAGTATATGTGCTGCCGAAGCGAGCACAATATATTATTATATCTAACGCCCTTTGCTTTTACATGAACAAACATATTTCTAATCTTACAGTCTTTTGATAAAGATGCTTTCCTCTACCCCAGGTGTATCTTTCCATTGTTCACTCAAACAGTACCAGCCAACAGAGAGATATGGAGGACAGCTTGGATTCTGACACTCTAGACAAAGCCTTGGCTCAGTATAATCAGAACATAGAGAGTCTTCCACATCTAACTGATGTTCGAAAAGGTGTAGTATTTAGAACCTAAGAAAATTAATATGTAATAGCCTGCTTTGAATATTTTCAGTTGTATTCAAGGTGGCTAACTCCTGTTTGCTTAGAAGCCTGAGAATCATGTGTCCTAGTTTGCATGAGCTTCTTTCCAAGGAACCTCTTCCATATTTAAAAATAGAAGGAGAACCTTGCTGAATTGGGCCATAAACCCACCTTGTCCACATGGAGGCATGCCAAATGGAGAAACTCACATTAGGGAAACTCACAACCTCCTCTACTGTCACTTCCCAGCAAATCAGTACTTAAGGCTTGGTGCCTGGGATTCAGGAGCCATCTAATGCAAATAGCCATTGATACCACGATTCTTCATGAAATTGTCTGGTTACCAGCCAAATTGACTGATATTATCACTAAGAGTAAGTTGCATCCATAGCTAAGAGGGCCTTTGGAAAGGTTGTTTGTGTGTGTCACTTGTACCCATTCCTGGACTTTTCTCACTTGTCACTTGTGCTTTAGTCATTTCTTGTTTGGACTACGAGTAGATCTTGATTTACAACCATTCATTCAGTGACCATTTGAAGTTAGAGTGGTGCTGAAAATATGGATTTATGGCCTGTGCTCAAAGTTATGGCCATTGCTGTGCCCCTGCAGTCATGTGATTAAAATTCAAGGACTTGGCAGCTTGCTCACACTTACACTACAAGGGCACGCCAATTCCCCCTTTCTGCCTATCTCTTGTCCACTGTTGGCCACCTTGCACCCTGCCTTGTGGGATGGCAAACACTTCCAGAACTGCATGGCTCTGGAGTTGCATTCCATGCCCTGAGAAGATTTAGCCACTCCAGGAAGCACCTGCAAGCATTAGTTCTCCCAGCTGCCTTCTCTCCCGACCTTTTGCCTTTTGTACCTAGCCACCGTAGCAAAGCAGCACCTCACTGCCTTTATTGTCTCCTTTTTGGACTGATGATGCGACCCTGAGCATTTCAGTATCTCTTGACTCTTCAACAGCTCAGTGCTAAAGCCCAGCAAGCTCCAGTAAGCATTCATTCACCCTTCTGTCTTCTCTCCCAGTTCTCTGCATCAATTTTTCGCTCGGAGAGTATGCGTAGTAAACGTTTGCTGGAGAAGCTGAGTCCAGGAAGGCTTCATCTTTGTTTTCCTTACATTCATTTTGCTTTAAAATAGTAATAATCGATCAATTGCCGAATCAACAAACCTGGACCTCAGTTGAATACAGGTAGTCCTTGCCTTAACAACAGTTCTTTACTGGCTGTTCCAAGTTGCAACAGCACTGAAAAAAAGTGACTTATGACTGTTTTTTTCACACTTATGACCATTCAGCATCCTCATGGTTACATGATCAAAATTCAGATGCTTGGCAAGTGGTTCATTTTTTTTAAAAAAATTGATTTATATGCCGCCCTTCTCCGAAGACTCAGGGCGGCTTACAATATTTACGATGGTTACAGTAGTCCCAGAGTCCTGTGAATCAGGTTTTGCGACCTTCTGACAAGCAAAGTCAGAATGGGGAATCCAGATTCATTTAACAACCATGTTACTAACTTTACAAATGCAACGATTCACTTAGCAACTGTGGCAAGAAAAGTCGTAAAATGGAACAAACATACTTAACAATTAGCAACACACATTTTGGGCTCCATTATGGTCGTAACACGAGGACTACCTGTAATTTTGTGCTATCGAGTTACCTGTCATTTCATCTTTCTCCTGCTCTCATCAGGAGAACCAGTACAAAGACATTCCAGCTAACTGAATGGCATGCTTTCTTTGTAGACATGCCCTGCCTCGCAGAATATAGTGATGGTCTGTTGTATCGAGCAAAACTCATTTCTATTCTTGAGTTCAATCCTGTTTCAGTTCTTGTGGAATTTGTTGACTATGGGTCGACTAAAACATTGCCTATAAGCAGGTAAAGATGTTCTTTTTTCAAATCACTTTATCAAGATTGATAATTCAATAACTAGAAATACTGTGCTACAATACTGTTTTAGATTTAACTAAGATGATCATAAATTATCAGCTTGTATAGTTTGACTTGCAAACTGTGTTCCAGGTTGCGTCAGATTCCGTGTAAGTTCATGCAATATCCCACTCAAGCATTCAGAGTGTTACTGGCTGGATTTAAACCTGCTTTACATGATTCCACAACAGAGAGAATTCCTTATTGTCCAGAATGGAGCCTGGATGCATTGTGGGCTGCAATGAACTGCTTTGAAAGCAAAAATCTCAGTGCCTCTTCAGTGGTAAGCCTTTTTTTTTTTTATCCTTCTCAATTTATCTCACTTTCATTTGGGAACTGTATATTCCTTCTATATGTAAATCTCTCCATTGAAGCTGCTTGGAAGAAATAAAACCAAGGAAGAAATTAAAAGCCAGGAGCACAGTCAAACTCCTTGATAAGTAGGATTTGTACTCAAAGCTGCAAATGTTTCTTTTTCATCTTTGTGAAAGGTGGCATAAGTCTTTTGAATTTATAGTATGGTAGTATGGTCAGAATCCATTATTTTCTAATTGTTTGCTGTTTCCTATGTCTGCATTGTGGTGAAGCACAAAAGGGCTTGAACTGCCATTACAATCTTCCAGACTTGGTACCTAGATAGTTTATTGCTCTGCCATTAGGGAAAAAAACAATTCTCCCCAAATTCTTCAAGAAGATATGTGCAAAAGCGTGTAGCTGCTGACAAGATTTAGATGATGGGGGGAAAATGGGATTTCTTGCCTATATTGTACTTCTATTGGAAATATTGATATTGCTTCTGAAACTATTTGTTGTCTTTTTTGAAAAACCTGGCTTCCAAGACACATTCACCAGAGCATATTGTATTTTTGTATGAAGAAGGACGTCTATTTCATATGAAGCTTGTGGAAATGGGATTTGCAGAACTGACACAATGATAGGTAAGCAAGCAGTAGTTATTATGTCTTTACCAGCATTAAGAAAAACCTATTGATCTTGCTGAAAATTTGCAAAAAATTAGAACTTGTAAACTTTATGAATGGTCCCACTAATTTTGATTAGTGATTTTTTAAAAACTGGAATTCTTGTAGAAAATGTTTTTAAACTGTAAGCCTTAATATTTCTAGGAATAAATAAAATAAAATTGCAACTTTTATTTTTTTAAAATCAGCCATACAGAGGTGAATTTAAACTGAAGGTGCTAAGACCTTTAGCCGAATTGAAGCCCCCAAGGTGGAAAATAAAGGCACCGGAAAAGAAAACTGAATTAAAAAATAAACAGGAAAGTTCAGTAAAAGAACCAATGCTTTTATAGATGTGTGTGAATAACTACATTATTCAAATGGTTCTTTTTTTACAATCATTAATGCAGTAAGATAAAGACTCAATAGCAATATTATGTAGAAGTTGATTGCTTGAAAATTTGTGGATATCTATTTTTACATTCCCAGGTATTGATACATGGAAATAATACTGGTTTTTTGTTTGTTTGTTTCAGATGTGGACTACCTTGATTTAAAAAAAATTGAACTGATTTTGTATTAAAATTGTTTTAAGAGTTATAGTTTTTTGTAAATTCTGGGAATTCTACACAGAAGTGTGAGTTTTTTGTTACATTGTTCAAGTACTAATACTTGTTTAAATAAATAGTTGGATTTGCATCAAAATGTCTTTACATTAGTTTATGTTTTATTTAATAAGTAGGGATAGGAAAAATATTTCAACTGCTTTGAGCGTGGAACTTCCTGACCCAAAAGCGAAAAACTTGCTTCAAATGCTGGGTAAGAATTCTAGGAATTAAAGTCTACAGATCTTAAAGTTGCCAAGTTTGAAGACTACCAATGTCCAACCACAGAATGATTGTCAACCATCCCTCTTAGCCATCTAGCAAAGAAAGACTCCTCGTCATTTGTTTTGCCAAGTGTATACTTTACTGAAGCTTAAATGGTTAAAGTAGCATAAACTGAATCTGAGGTTTTCCCACGCAAACAACACAAAGGAAAGTGTCCCCCCCCCCCCAAAAAAATCTCCTGGTTATCTGCAAATGTCCGGTCAGGTGCTTGTATATTGTCCAGGAAACGGGTGCTTGGTTCCCAGCTCTGCATATCATTACTTGATCTCCATCGCTAATGTCAGGCTGTCAGCTCATGAAGCTTGGATAGGTGAGATGCAGTCATGACAATGGTTTTGTAGATGTCAGTAAAACCATTTTCCATAAATCATTTCTCTACTATCACTGTTACAAGATTTTTTTTTAATTATTACTATTAGCAAGTTTGATCTATATTTTTATGCAGTCTTTTGTTACTATTCCAGTAGTTTCCAATTATGTCCTTAATGCAGATCAGCTCCACTATATCATCCCTTAGAAGCTGTTAGACTACAGACTACCAAATACAGTTGGCAATATATCATCAGCAAATAATTTGACACCCCTGTCCCTATAGTAAGCTTCCAAAATTTTGGCCAATAGTTGAAAATTTGTCAACTATTCCAGGTTGTTCTGTTTTTCTAAGTTTAAGATTGATGAATCTTATATTTTTTTTCTTAAATCTTTTCATTTCAATTAGAATATTTGCTTCTTTATTTTAAAAACTGTATTGGGATGATGTGATCTAATAACATGGCTTGGAATTTAGAGTTCTTTACACTTGGTTGCAGATTTTTTTCTTCCAGTGATTCACACCAATATTTTGCTGATTAATACAAGCTGAAAATGTGCACATTGTGCTTATTTTGAGTAACTTTCCTATCAGAAATGTGGAGATGTTAATTTTACCAAAACATTTGACAGTGTTGTCCATTATGTTCTGATTAGGAGGTTAATTAGTTATTGGCTAGATGGCAGATCTATTAGGAAATTGGCATGAAACTAATCTCAAAGAAAGATCATAAAGCTTCCTTAACAAATTAGTGTGAAATATCAAATGGAATGCCACAAATTTGGTTCAAGACCTGTACTCCAAAATTTTAAAGTGGAATGAATGCTTATCAGATTCATAGGTTACACAACTGGGTGAGTAGCTATTACAAGAGAAATGGTTTGAAAATAAAAGTGAAATTTAATAGTCAAATGAAATAATTATTTAGAAAAAAATTGTTCTTTAGTCTCTAAAAAAGAGAAGTGGGTTTTGTTCCCAATGTAGTGCACAGCACTGCTAATATATAAGCATTAGACATACGAGTTTTAAAAATAATTTATTAAGACGTTTATTGCATGTGTACAAACAGCTTTTAGATTTTTATGCAAACAAGACAACATCTAGAAAATGCAACAAAGAAATGTTGATAAATATTAAGATACAGCAAAACATAAACGTTCAGGGATGAGTGTCCATGACAACATCACCATTCTTATTTTTAACTCTTAGTCTACCAGAGGCATATTGAGTCTCTTGATGTCCATCAGCATAAACAGTTTTGATTGTGCCATCAGGATACTCACGTCTTTTGAAATCAGCAGTATGCACTTCTTGCTGACCATTGCTGAACTCTATAATCTTACTTCCATCTCTGAATTAAAATACAAAAAAATACCAATACTTGGTCTTATTAAATTCTGCGGAAAAGAAAAATTAGGAACTGGGAAAAAGAATATGATTTTAGCCCAGTTACTGTTTGAGTTCAATTGCTATGCAAGGTAATTTTTCTTAAAATGTCCATACCTCAAATACTATTTTATGTCTCTGGTATTGATAATCTTCCTGCTATATATTTTGCTTTTCCCTTTTCTCATTTTGCCACATTATGTCTATTATGCTCAGTTGTAATGACTAGAAATCAGCCTAATTTTTTCAACTGTTTACATCTCAACTGCCATCAGTCCAAGAAAGTAGTTAATAATACTGGAGTTGTCAAAAATATTTGGGAGGATAAATTTAGAATAAGTAGTAATTCTGTCCCATAACTCTTCCTCACCCTTTTTACTCTTCAATATGGACTCAAAATAAATGGTCATCTAAAAGACTACCAGTAGAATTTGATTGATTTTTCTTCCCATCCAGCACTTACCTTGGGTTGCTCCCAAAACCAGACTTAGTGATACACCCACCCACTCCATATGCTTGTAATTGAATTTAGATCAAACTTTCTCTAAAATTATATTTTATCAGGGTAAAAGCCTTACTGTTGCATGTGGATAATAGTGCCATCAGGAAAAATGTTTACTTCTCGCCCATCTGTGAATACATTCTTAATGGTTTGATCGGGGAATATAATTTCTTTTTTTCCATCTGGAAAATGCTTTTCTGCAATAATATATTCATACATCAAATTTGTCTTACATTGTATGTACAAAAGAAATGGCATCTGTGTTAACTGCGTGCAAGCACTCCCTCAGCTTACCTATCTGGCCATTTGAGAAATGGAGAACCTCTAAACCTGTAGGATAGGTGGTATGTGTAGTTTTTGCATCGGCATAATAGTATATCTGTTGAGAAAAGTTTTAAAGTTAATGTTAATGCTAGTGCATAGTTCTGATTATGTAAGACTGCCATATGATAGATACATACAACTCTCTGGTCGTCCAGGATTTGTTTTACATCCCCATTAAAAAAGGTTACAGTTGTAGTCTTTCCATCGCAGCTTACTTCTTTCCTTGTGCCATTCGGGAAAATAATAAGATGGCAACCATTTTTTAACACTTTTTCAACCTAAAAGGAAGCAAGTAAAACTAATAATTCTAATCTGGAAAAGTTTAAATGAAGCGCCATATAGCTTTACTTTTATAAAGTCACACAATGTTCAAACTACTGAACAAAGAACTGGAAAAAGAAACATCTCTCTCCCATGAAGAAATTAATCTGATTAGGATCCAGTTTCCTCCCTAATTCAAAAAAAATTACGGATAAGATTTGCAACATAAAGTATCCTGACCGCTCCAGTCTGGGTTCATCCTAGGCCATGAGTCAAAAAGAAGCACTGGTTGGTCTTGTGGATGATCTACAGTAAAAGTTGGATGAGTGTGGTGTTTGCACCTTTATCTTGCTAGATCTCTTGGCAGTACTCAAAGCAATTCTGGCGCACTTTTGGACCATCTATGAGGACTACAAATCAAGGATACTGTTTTACAATGGTTCTCCTTCTTCCTGAGTGGGCAATTCCAGTGGATATTAATGGAGGAAATGTTGGACTATGGATATATCAGTGTCAAGATCGCCAAGCTCTCTTTTCTTCAATGACATGAATTTGTTGAGAGATCTTGTCCATAGATTTAGGGTTGAGATATCAGTTTGCTTACGATAACCAGCTATATATCTCCAAACTGGAGATGTAGTGCAAATTTTGAACCAAATCCTGAAGAACTGCAATAGGAAAGAGTGAAGGAGGTAATGAAGTATAAGAAGCAAGATGAAGTTCCTGTTTGTATAGACTCCTCCTAGATGAGATGGTCTCCTCCCTAAAATATGCAATTTGGGAGTGCTTCTGTACTCATGACAGCTGCTAAAATAAGAAATGAGGGCTATGGCAAGAATAGCCTAAAGCTGGTTTGGCAATTGTGACCATTCTTGGAATAGGAAACACATAATTACACCCATATACGTCATCTCTTGAAATGGAAAATACTTATAAATCTTAGCATTTACTTGTTTATTGTAAGTATTTGGATGCTGCCTACTCCACAGGATCAAGAGGGGTTACAATCATAAAGTATACAAGTATGTTTTTGACTCAGTTTAATTGGTTCTCTTTATCTAGTTTTAGGGCTTGTGTGGAGAGCAGATCACACGTATGAGAATAGCTCCAAAGATTGGAAAAATGGCAATTTGCTTTATTCTGTTCAAGATAGCTCAAACGAAAATTCTATGTTGTGAAAATTTTCAAGACTCAGTAGAACATATAAACTAGTACACTTTGAACCAATATAAAAATCTGCTTTGTGTCCATTCTCAGTTTGAATGTCAAAAATTCAAGATAATGTAGCATACTTTTAGACTAGATCTGAAGGACCTACAAGATTAGCATTCTTTATAGGTCCAAATATGGAACAAGGAAATGTTCCCACTGTACTTCATTGCTCGTTAGCGGTGCATCCTGTTATAACGAATGAGAAAGGAACTTACTTTTCCATCAGGATGACTGGCTTCTCTCTCAACTTCTTCTTCGCTTTCTGAAGAATCCAAAGTTACTGCTGATAATGATTGGATAGTTCCATCAGTAGGAAAATTCTAAAATGGCAAAAGCAATAGTAACTTCCTAAAGAGGCAAACTAAATTGCTATGGATTTTGTACAGATTATACCTCATGATATTGAGAATGTTTTTAGATTGACAAGCAATACTGCATTTCATGCAGCTATAGAAATTGACGTTCAAAAAAATGTGTTTTCAAAGAGACCTCATTTTCCAAAGAAAACAGGGTTCCATATCATGAAAATCAAACGTCAGAATAAAAAATATTTAATTGAATTTCTTGCATCTGAGATGCTCAGAAGATAATTTCTGCCTATTCATATTCTAAGAATAAAAAACTAGGGTTTTCTAAGACATCTTTATACATCATGTAAGTATCAACCAATATTTCTCTTAACACTTTTTACAAATTTCATCATGGTTAAAAGATGCATATAATGGGCATAAAGATATATTTTGTTTAAACCATTAAACTATAACTGCCATAGTTGTAATAGTCATTTTATGGTCAATTTTAGGTATCAGATACTAGCATG